GCTAATGTTTGCGTATTTTGATTTTGTTTGTTTATTTCTGTTTATTTCTGTTTTTGTTTATTTGCCGTCACTTTAATTGTCATGTCTATGTGCACATTTTTGTTTTGTACTTGTTCACCTTATCACAATAAAAACATTTAAAAAAAGATATTCAAAGGTGCTGCGACAGTCGTAAAGTAAGAGGACACAGTTGCAGATACAATGAAGGAATGTGTGTGAATGAAATTATGTGCTGCAGAAAGCCCAAACAAATGCAAACAGGCTGACAATACTGAAGTTAAACAAAAAGCCAACAAACATTGAATGTGTAAAAGCTGTCAATCACAAGAGAAATGCTTCAGGGCACTCATGGGGTGGTTTCACTTTAGTAAAAGCTGTCTTCCAATCAGAAACACTTTAACCATTATATGATCCCATGCAAACAAATGTGTGTTTATATTTTCTGCTAGTTTGGAAAACCAAACCTGTGGTCTGGCTGCATGTCAGGAAACTCGTCAAATTCAGCACCTTTTCTCTCTCTCTCTCTCTCTCTCTCTCTGCCTAGTGCCCCCTACATGCCTAAGCCATTTGGTTACGATAAAGCCATACACAGAAGATTCTGCTGAATTTGTTTACTGGCTTTGTGTGTCTTTGACTTTGCATTGTTCATATATTTGCAACACATTTTCAAGGGATGTTTTTGATTCAGCTTTGTGCAGCATGTCTGTTGTTGAATCTGTTTAGACTTTTTTTTTATAAATGTGCGATGGTTTGGAAGTTGCAGCACATTTCTATTTTGGTCATTTGATTGGCCATTCAGCCTTACTGCCTTTTTGGGGCAACCATCATTTTCCAAATTAAAAAAGATGAACAGATATCCTTTCTCAATTAAAAAAAACAACCTAATAAACTGATAATTATTCATTAAAGGACAATTTTAACAAAACGCTTTCATTGTTTTGTTTTTAATTGAGAACCAGCTCCGTTGTTGGTATGTTACTCAGACAGAAATCATATTCTGATATCCCAAAGGACATTTATGTGAATGGAAAATTGATCATTGATGGCTGTTTTACACGGGTTAATGCTTGGAGGAAGTTAAATTAGAGATTTGGTTTCAGTGTTTGGGCCATTACAGGCTTTAAGAGAGGTCTGCGGGGCTCGCGTGAGGAGAAATTATTCTACAAGATATTAAATGACACAAAGAGTCTTTTCAGTTTTGAGGTTGTGGTCTATACCACTAAGAGTGTTCAAATGTATTTATGACAAGCAGGTTTTTTAAAATTGTTTAAAATATGAGTGCGTGTTCTGGGAGAAGGTTAAGGCCCAAACCCACAGTCATTTGAATGTGGCAGACGTATTTCTCAGTAGTTTTGAAACAGTGTATTTTAATGAACTTCAGAGGCCACAGCAATGTATGTAAAGAAATATGCAAATCATAGAAAACAGCATGCTTAAAAAGAGGCGGAGATTCCCTGAGCAAACATCCAGGCTAAGATTCACATATTTACAAGGCCACATCATCGTACAAAGAAGTTTGTTAAAGGCAAGTGAGGACCAACTTTGAGAATAATGTTCAAATTTCACAACATCTTTCTGCTCTAATTTATTTATTTTTATTTATCTTTATATCCGGCAACTGCAGGATAATAAGAACATTTCATCCTTATGCTTGATTGTAATGTTCCTCCCCATTATGGACACTAGTCTGACCCTGTGAAAACTGTTGTGTAATATCTTCAGTGTTTCCTCAGGGATCTCACTAATGCTGCATTCACATGGATCCAGGCAAACCCTGGTCTGAAAATCGGAAATCATTTCAGTGGATCAGAAAAAGAAAACTGATGTGAGGCCGCCTGTCAGAGAACATCAACATGAGCAGACATCATTACTTTTGAAAGTTAAAATATTTTAGCTTTTTGACATCAACACAGATGGAAATCAGAATCAGATGTAGGATGCAGCTCGCTCACACAAGAGAGGCTAGAAATGTTGTCCAGTAATTCAACCTTTTTTTCTGAGCTTTCCGCAACCTTACCAACGCCTAAACCCAATTAAAAATAATCTATAAAGCTAAAAGAATTACAATGTTCTTTATCTTCCCACAAATTGAGAACTCATTTTAATGAGCTGATGATTCATGTGAAACAGTGCTTCCCCTTTGGAAGATGAAAATATGTTCAGGCCCCTTCCACCCCTCACACATCGGCACATAAACGTACATCCATACACTGAAACTCACTGTGAGACCCTTCTTTGTAAACAAACACATACCACACCACTTTTACAAAGGAGCAATAAGGCCTGTGTTCATTGCCACAGTTTTATGTGCTGGCACTGCTTGTTTTCAAAAACCAAACCATTTTAAGTTTTAAGCCCATGTCTTGAGCTTCGTGTCAGCTGGTCTTTCCTCATAGGGTCAAGTAAAAAGTCAAATAACTTGCTTTTATGTTGAGATAACAGTCTAAAGAAGATAAAAATGACATATTTTAATGTTTGGTGTCCTTACTTAAAAAATGACAGACTTTGATATTCATACTTTTTGAATTTTTGTTTCAATTTTCAATTTCCACCTAAACTACAAGTGTGTTTAAGTGTGAAAAATTCTAAACTTGAAAATGGTATTGATAAAAACTTTGCATAATTGTAACTAATAACTATCTGTGAACATCCTGTCCAAATTTGGTGAGATTCTGATTCTGATTCCCAGAGATACATGTGATAAGGCTAGAGCTGTCCCTTTTGGAGAAGACCTAATTTGACCTATTTTCGTTTTTTGGTAAGATGCATAAAACATCCAAAAAAAGTTATTTTGCAGTAAAATATTTTTATACAACCATCCGTTTCATAAACTAGACATGTTCAAGTTTAAAAATATGGTTGTGCTTTGTTCTACCTCGGGTAGGGGTATCTCGAAAACTAAAGCCTTTTTGGGGGGTTTGTTCCTCTACTATTGTCGCTACGCTCCCAGTTTGAAAACGGTTCCATTTTTTGGAATCCCGCCGTGATCGGCTTGTTAATGTAACTTGTGTCTCATAGACCAAATCAAAATCAAGAAGGGGCTGTATTCCTGATATCTTCTTGCGCTGTCATTGCAAACAGCACCATAAACGGGCCCTTTAATAGTGACATAACATCCTACTAAAAACTGTACAACACTAAACTGTGGGTGTGAATGTGTAGGTGTGACCAGCGCTTTGAGTAGTCTAAGACTAGAAAAGAAATATACACGCTCAAGTCATTTTACCATTGGCAGATTTTATTCTGTGCAAGTTGACCAACGAAACCATTTAATCAAAATGTCCTTAAGCTTCTAATCCAGTAATAATTGAAATGTCCAGCTTGAATCTGTATTTCATCTTCATGGAGACTAAGGGGAAGAAGGGTGAAGCAAAGAGTGAGTTATGAGTGCGTGCTGCACCACCCTGTCATTACTCCGGGCCCCCCAAGGGGCCCCCCCCTTCTTAGTTTGGGAGGTAAAGAGTTGAGTTGAAGGCCTTCTGTGTTTTACAGACAGGGTGGGTCTAATAGATCTTAAATGCTGAGGTGCATTTTAGCAACTGTGTTGTTTTGGTGAGTCACTCAAAGTGAGGGCTTAAAATGACTAGCGGTTGGTTCTTGTGCCCCCTGTACAGAGGTTACAGTCCTCAAAGTGGGCAGCCCGGGTTCGAATCCAACTTGTGGCTCCTTCACCATGTCATCGTCATGTCATTTCCCACTCTTTCTCTCTCTTACAGATATCCGACTCTATCCTCTGCCCTGTCTCTCAAGATAGGTTTTGAATATTTTTTGACCTTTAACTTTTAATTTCCAGTATTATAAGTTACATCATGTCGATGAAGTCATCATCTTTTGCACGACGAAGACAGCACATTGATGTAACAGGCTGACAGCATTTGTGGTATTCTTTGGTTTTTTAGAAACTTGGTGTTAAGAAAACTTTTCTAGGAAAAATCTCAAGCAGTCTCAACTGCACTCTGCCTGAAGAAACAGAAAAAATATTTGTGACAAAATAGCATGAAATTCATTAAAAAAAAATAAAAATGGAAAGAAAAGCAAAGAATCAAATGTTCTGAAGAAGACAGTCAGCACAAATTAAGATTTTCACAGTTTCCTGCTCACATTAGTTCAAACTATAACCATTTCTTACATTTGTCTTGGCCAGTCAAAGCTGACGATTTGCAGGACTTGCACACTTTTGGTGCAAAACTGGTTTCAACAACATGGTGAAAACACTCAGCCCTGAGGAAATGCAAATGTTCTCTGCACATATTCTCTCATAAAATATTTAGTATGCTCACAAATCTTTGCAGATAGTTTATTTGTCCTTGAGATGAGTCTTTTCCACAGTTTAGGTGCACAAACAAGAAGCAGATAATTGGAATCTGAAGGAGATACTTTGTGGGTAACAGAGACAGCTGTTTGTTATAGCTTATGTCTCTCAACACTAGCATCGGAAGTAGCCATGGCGCAGAATCAGGCCAGCTGTGGAGCCTGTGAGAGCGTGCCAGGGTTAAAAAAAATGTGGTGTGGTATTAGAAGGGGGGCCAATACAAAGAGCTCGTTATTATGGGTTCCCGACTCAATTTTTATTTTATTTTTATCCAAGTGTGTGCTTTATAAAAATAAAATGTAAATAAAGATGCACAAAGTAGAACGAAATGAATAAATTTAATGAAACTTTTGAATACAACGTTGGCAAATGTCCTTTAGCTGGGATGTATTTAATCCTGTTTTACATGTCACCAAATTTTGTCCGCTCAATTGTCAGAACAGATCATGAATAAAAGGGAGCTGCACGTGTCTCTCTCTTTGTCTCAGAGAGAGAGAGAGAGAGAGAGAGAGAGAGATAGAGATAGAGAGAGAGAGAGTGTGTGTGTGTGTGTGTGTGTGTGTGTGTGTGTGTGTGTGTGCGCGCGCGCGTGTGTGTGTGTGGTTTGGATGTCGCCTCCCTCTACGCGTGCACGGCGTGAGTAATAAGCTCGTCCACTGGCTCCTGAAAACATGTTGTTGACGCCTCAGTCACTCCTGGAGTACAGCATGTTTGCAGGAAGACCAAGCTGCTGCTGCTGCGAGCTCCACTGCGCGTCTGTGCCTTTAAACACTTTGTGAGCGCGTCTCTCTCTGAGCCCGCAGTGAACTTCCCTCAACTCCAACGCACTCCGCGAATACACCAGAGCTCCGTTTACTATCCAGGAACTGGCTAACCTTCACAGCTAGACCCATGGAATTATAACTATGGAATATCACTGGATACTGCTGTCCGTCTTTCTACAGTTAACCTTCCGGCCAGGTAAGACTTCGGCACTTTACGCACCACAACTTGTTGCTCTTCGTATCAACCAGAGGCTCGATTATATGAAAATTTAGAACATGTGTTCATCTCCGTACAGCTCAGTGAGATAGAGATAATCCATGTTCTGCAGAAGTAAATCGCTCCACTTGCTTTGCGTGGTTTTTTGGTGCATTTCTCTTTGTTCTGGGAGGCTGGTGCAGTGAGCGCTGATGAGAAAACCTGAAGTCTCTGAAACCTAAACCTGACGAGGAAAGCGGATACCTTGGCTCATGATTTGGATGCAACTTTAATAACTCATGTTTTATTCAGAGAGCAGCAGAGCGCTATTAACAAAAAAGTAATCACACGGTGAGTGGAAGTGGGATGCTCTTACTGCTCGGTGGAGGCGCAGCTTCAGGGAGATACAGCGCACAATATAACCGCCAGTATGGAAATATCTCGGCATATTCCTGGGAAGCATGCAAACGAGCTGTTAGTGCGTCCTGCAGTTGTAAGGCAGCATAGCTGTGTCGTTTCTCACTTGTTGGATAAATATTGTCACGTGTGACTTTAAGCGCCACATTGTTCCGACAGTTTGATGTGGTGAGATGAGATGAGATGAGATTCAACTTTATTGTCATTACACATATACAAGTATAGAGTAACGAAATGAAGTTTGGCATCTCACCAGAAGTGCAACAAGCAGAAAGTGCAAGAGTCTGTGCTATGTACAGTAATTACAAAATTTACAGATGTAGACTAAAAAAACTGAATTATTAGGTATATATGGATGGCTGGATTAATGGGATGCTATAAATATAAATAAATGCCATAAATATAAGTGTATTTTTAGGATTATAATATACAGATTAAGGTGCAGTGAGCATGCTATACTAATAATATACAGATTAAGGTGCAGTTTGATGTGGTGTTGGCTGTTTGGAAACACGTTGCTGTGCTTGTTTTTTTGCATTTGATTGATGAGCGTCATAGTGGAGGAAAAGTGGGACTGAATACCCAGGACCCCAATGGAGATAAAGGGGCCTAAAATATAAATGTAATATTTGTTTCTCTGGAGGTCTTTTTACTGTCCCTAGTAAAAATAAAAATGCTCAAATAAATAAACACAATTCTGAACTCTTTCTTAACTACATTGTAAAAAAGTAGCTTAAAAACAAAAAGATGCACATATTTATGGTTATTGTTTCATTTGAACTGCGGGAGAGTTTTAAAGGGTGCAACACTAAATTGTATTGCAATTTTAAACGTCCATTTGATACTCGTGAAATTCAAACTAAATTCGTGCAATGGCAACAAAAATCGAAGACACTGACATGCACCCAATACTGTGTCATTTCTTGTTTTTAATGACCAAAAATAACTTTTTGCACAGTACTTTTTGATAGTGTCAATCATTAAAATAAAAGAGAATATATCTTTTTCAAATGTTCAGTATGGAATATTACTGAAGGAGGAACATTTTGACAACAGTGATTTTAAACTTTGGATAGGTCATGTGTGTAATGGAGTTGTGGTTAGAGAAATATCACAGGGCTGGCTGAGGCTGTAGTGGAGGGGGGGGGGCACATTGTGGGTCCTGCAGATGCCCCGGCTCAGTGATGCATCACCTGACTGACTGCAACAATCAAATAAGACACACCATAAAGTTTGTCTTAAGCACTACAGACCTGATCCCATGGATAAACAAACACATCATTCAATTAGCAGCGTATAGTGCCACACATGGAGAAGTTGTAAATCATGTTTTCAGCTCCTCCTTTTCACATAGCAACCCCCTTCTTTACGTTAAATTCCACAGTTGTTAGTCAAATATTTACGCATCAGTGCAGAGGCTGAGCACACACAGCATTATTAACAGTCTCTACATAGACCCATCTTTGTATAATGATACATTCCTGTTTGCAGTTCTGTGATTTTTTTAATTTAAGCATTTCAGATGGATCCAGAACGCCACCACACCCTAACATAGAGCAGTCAGAGCTCAGACTGTGTGTGGACATTGATGTCTTTTTTTAAATGTGTTTATTTATTATATCATAGAAGGGGGAGGATGGGGGATAAGGATCTTTGTCAGCAGCAGCCGGTATGACCCTGACTGTAGCCTTGTGTGTTTGTCACAAGTGTTATCAGGAACAAAAAGCATGGGATGATGACTCTCCACCTCTTTTCTTTTGGTACCTCAAATGAATCTTTGAGTTGCTCTGTCCTTTAGAAAACCTGCCTTTTGCTAAAATGTTGAAAAACACACTCTTTTTTTAATTTTTTTTAATTTTTTTTTACTTTTCATTCCCAGAAGTTGAGGGTTCAATTCCTGCTGCTACATAATGATGACAGAATTTATGGGCTCCATCTGTTTTTTTCTTTCAAATCTTAAGTGTGTGGGCAATGAAGTTTATTGTGAGACTTGTAGATGAAAAATAGACGATACCGCCGTGTGTCTCATGATCAGAATAATCAAATATCTGTTACTCACTCATTACACTGTTGTAAAAAGTCAGAGTCAGGACTCTACCGGAGGTCCAGAGATACGTGGGAGGGACCTTTCTTGAATAATTGAAGCCGTCTGTGTGTCTCTAAAACGCTGACAAAAACAAATAGACCGCTCACAGCTTCCGTCCACAATGCCGCTGTATCTTTGCTGTGTTTGCTTTGTTGGTCACAAGCTCTTCAAGCTGAAAACAACAACTTTTAAAAAGTAAAATTAACAGTTTGATGATGGTTTCCAGCGTGTTAAATGTGAGGATTTTCTCCCTTATTGTTTATGGTGCATAACGAAGAGTGTCCTGTTTTGGTCTGTCGGTTGGACAAAATGAGCACTTTATAGATGTCACTTTGAGCTCTGGGAAATTGTAATCAGCATTTCTAAACTGAAGCATGACCGAGTGTATAAACACATCAGATAAATCAAAATGAAAGTCATGATAGAATTGCCCTCATACTTCCAATTTTCTCGTCCTTGTCCTGCTTGTGTTGACTTGTTGTATCTTTCAGCTGCTTGGGCGCTTGGGGATCTCTTTGGTGTGGTTGTAGCTGCTAGCACATCTGGACTCCACAATGGTGTGAAAATGCATTCCAACATTTCATTCGTGTTGCAAAACTGCAAATTTGAGGTTTTTGTCAAAATAAAAAAAGTGTTGCATCCAATTTTTTATAGCATTTGGAAACTTTTAACCGCGCCGTTTCAGTACAGGAATTGTGGTGGTAATCATGCACAATCTTTTCCCTCCCAACGGGGGTGTTTTCTCATCATTACATTGGCGTGATAGCGGTGGATTTCTCTCTCTTTTGTTTTCTTTACAGGTGACACAAAGCCCACCATCACCCCCGCAGACCCCCACATCGTCGTCGTGCTCAACAAACCCTTCGAGCTGCGCTGTCAGGGCGAGAAAGCAATGCAGTGGCAGCGGGAGGACCGGCCGAGGGTGCGGGGCGAGAAAAAGATCGACGGGATGTCAACACTGCACGTCTCCAGGGCTCAGCCCGTTCACATGGGACGCTACATCTGCCTGGAGGAGAGTTCACAGGAGCAGACCTCCATCTACGTCTACATCAAAGGTAGCAGGATGGAATGTTTTGAGGGGGTGTTTTGGTGCGTTAAGATTATGTGATGTTTATGAAATAAAATAAATGGAGAAGTGAAATCTGGAGAATCAGACTGCAGGTTACAGCCAAAGGAAGCTGTGTCTCTGTGCAGTGAGATCAGTGTGTGTGTGTGTGGGTGTGTTTGTAGCTTTGCCCCGGACAGGTACAGTAGATACCGAAGCTGTTTATGAAGTGCATGACTGAGTTCTACTGTATTTCCTTTCTCTCTGTGACTCTACATCCCCTTGGCCTGCTGCCATCCCTGCAGGCTGATATCATGTGCTGATCACTCACTCCACTATTCACACATCCACCTCTGAGGCTGCGAACAGTAACTACTTTGTGGATGAGATGGCTCAGATGTAGTATTATCAAAAAAATATTTACTCTGCTGACAAAACTTGCACAGGTAAACAGTGAAGGCTTTGTCTTCTGCAGGGTGGATCTCTGTGTGTAGATAACCAAAAGCTTGATAACAAATCCGCCTTTTGTGCTTGTTGATTCTGCAAATATGGATCCATTTGATTTAAACTTTTAATCCTGAAGATTTCTGTTCTGGTTGATTTGGCAACACTCAGTTTACCATAGCAACAACAGAATTCTTGGGGCAGAAAAACAATATAGAGAGCACTGGTGTGTATATTTCTGTGTGTGTGCAGCCAAACATGCTAAAGAAAAATGATCAGAGATACACTGTGTTCCCTGTGCTTCACGAGTAAAAGACTTTCAGTGTGTGAGTGAAAACTGTCCAGTTTGAAGCGGCTCTGACACAGTGTGACTGATAGTGAACAGTAAACAGAGAGGCTGTTATCTGTAATCTGAATGTTTTGTGTGAAATTCCAATTTGTGCAGAGAATATCTGAGCGGACATGCCAAACAAATGCTCCTCAGAATGCTGCAAACATGTTTTTGTTTTGCAATTGAAAAAGTGTCGAAAGACCTGAGGAAGATTTGTTGAAAACAAAATATAGTATCAGCAGATATCATGGCGTTTGAGCTGTACTGTGGAGTTCCTACAAACAGAGGCTTGTTTACATGCAGTGTTACAGTGAAACATTTGCAAAGCTGTTTATTTAAATGTCTAATGTTGTTTACTTCCAGGTTTATAGGTAGCAGTGTTCTGCATCCTCCTCTGTTAGCACATTGCTGTTTTTCTTCTGGGTCTACGTGCAGTAGTGTGAAAACATGGCGTGTTTATGATGCCTCTGCAGATAAACAACTCCTGTGCTCCTCGGCATTTCAAAAAAAAAAAAAACACTCTACAAGTAGCCTTTAAAGATTTGAAGGAGGAAAACCTTGCAAAACTGTTTCAACTAAACTTTCAGTTAAATTAGCTCGATATGACCTCGTCCTTCTGCAATGGTGTAATGGCACCAACTGGAGAATTAGAAGCACCAACTGTTCTCTTCCATGCAGCAAACTTCTGCAGGAATATTGGAATAGAAGGAGTGGGAGTAAGCTTTTCTTTTGCATAGTTTCTGTTTGACTTGGTCTTATATTTTTAATGGACACCTGGTTACAAACGTCGATGCATTCTGTGTTTTAACAGGTTAAGAGAAAAGCTGACTGCCACCAAAAATGAAAAACTTCTCTATTAAAGGTCAATGATTCAGTCCATCTAGGACTTCACCATCTTTGTTTTGTGATTGTTGCAGAGTAAAATTCCTGATTTTGCGGCTTTTCATTTATTTATATTTTTTAAAGATTTATTTTTGGGCTTTTTGTGCCTTTATTTGAGAGATAGGACAGATAGAATCGGAGAGAGAGAGAGTGGGGAACGACATGCGGAAAAGGAGCCACAGGTCGGATTTGAACCTGGGCTGCCCACTTTGAGAACTACAGCCTCCAGACATGGGGTGCGCGCTCTAACCACTGCACCAGATGGTGATGTGTCCTCAATTTCAAGCTGCCAACCGCCTCTATGTGAACCTTCACACCTTTGAATTGATTTTTTCACGATTTTAACGATTACTCTTTACACCCCTACTAAATAAGGGTCAAAATTACAACTCTATTCTAAAATCAGCTTTATGTGCACAAAGTCAACAAGGCTTAGTACACAGAACAGTTATAAATGTAACACACTTTTAAAGGCAGAAAGTTGTGTCAACAGAAACTGAACTAGAATTTTGTATATTCTATTTGAATTGCTCAACTTGAGTTACAAATACTTTTTTAAATTAAAATTTTAAATTGAATGTGTATTGTTACACTGAATCCAAAATAGCATAACTTTAATTCAAATAATAAGAATTTGATTTAATTAGTTGGAAACAGAATTTCCAATAAACTTTAAACTGAAATTTAAACTGTAGTTTTTTTCCAACTCCAAATTCAGTACTCTCGACAAGTTGATGAAAACATTATAACCTGTCAAGAAATCAATTTCAAGTTTTTGTGAACATTTCCAGCTGGTAAGGAAAATCAATTGAGTGCAGATTCAGTGCACCTTTTTTCTGACCAATCAGCACCTTTGTTTTGACCGTGTGATAACATGGAGCCATTGGATATATGCACGTTAAACAACCGTTTCTTTCTTTCCATCATGGACGATCAGTTTACAAAGGATTTAATGAGTTTTTGAACTGTTAACGTTGTAACTATGTAGTGGGGCTGTTACGTTCTGTCAGCCAGTTTAAGTAAAGTTTGTGCTGTTGTAATGTTACGCTAAATTAGCCTACTAGCTTGTGAAGAATCAAAGAGTCTCAGTACCATCACCGGTATTATTACTCTGCTGCGTTATGGATTTTTGCAGGGCTGTCATCACTGGTGTAGGTGATTAAACACACTCGTTTGATTGTAGTTCATACACCATGCTACACTGATGCCACGGATAGATCAACCTACCACACATGCATAAAGTGCATAAATTAAAGTAGAAAAAGAGTGATTTTAGACAGACAACAGCTCTGCATGTTTCACTCAGCAGAGCCAGGCAGACCTTCACGTTCACTGACCTAACAGCACCACCTTCTCCCCCGTGTCAGAGCGGGTGTCTGATTGCATCATTACAACAGGTCTGCCTGTTTAAAGGTGTTTTAAGTGTTTTGTCGTCCAAGATAACTAAAAGACATGTTCTAAGGCTCAAAGCAGCGGCTTTTAAATTCTGCAACTCACTACACAATTATTATCTCCGCTAAAGCTCAGTTAATTCAATGATAAACACTCAATTTCCTGCAAACCCTTCACAACAGAATGAGTGGACAAGCCATCCAATGACAGTTGTTTCAAAGAAAGAAATTCAAAGTAATGATCTGTCAGTCAGTACACATACTAAAAATGTATTTATTTTTTATAGCTAAATAATGTTTCTCATCATGTCACAAAACCAAAGCTTGAACAGCTCACTGTGCTGCCTCACTTTTTGGCTGAAGTTCTTGATGTGTGATTGTGTTTTTTCTGTTTTTTTTTTGGCAGATCCTGACAATCCTTTCAGAAAATCGATGGTGTTCAAGATTCTCACTCGTGTGGGAGACGCTGCTTCCATCCCCTGCCTGGCAACTGATCCAAGTCTGGACAACCTGCGCCTGGAAACATGTTCCAGTGCAGCCCTGGCCTCTGGTCTCCAGTTTTCCGCAAGCCTGGAGCAAGGCATCACCATCCACAACCCCCAGAAGGCCTACGAGGGCTGCTACGTGTGCACAGGGCAGCTTGGGGAGGAGCTGGTCAGGTCACATGACTACTACCTGACTGTTAGACCAGGTAACCACATTTAAATGCATATTTATTTGCACATTGTAACTGCTGCTCCAAACTCAGGTTAAAAGCAGTTTCTTTGTTTTTCCTCTTAAGTCCCCATCGCTCGTCCTGTGATCGAGCTGCTGGCGCCCAAACGAGTCATTCTCACCCGAGGGGAGAGTCTCTCCCTCACCTGTAACACCACCAACGTCAACGGAGAGATCAAGCTGAAGTGGGACATCCCACCTGGCTCGGTGAGACTCATCATCAGCATTTTCTGTACCATGGGTAGAGCTGTGGACGGTACATTAAACTAGGAAATACTTCACATTACGGGGGCGAATTCACAAAGAACGGATTCTCAGCTTTGCTCTTAACTTTTTACAAATGTCACACAAAGAAAACATCATATTCTCAAAGCACCAGATAAAATGAAGCTTAAGCTCTAGCTTGGGGCTCTGGTTCTGCTTTTCTCCTTACCCAGGATGAGGCTGAGAGTTTTATTTGATCCTGCTCGCTCGCTGCGGGGAGGAAGCAGCGAGCCCTACAAACTGGAAGAAGAGCAGCCTCTTTTCCTCCATTTTTTATCGTCTATAGAGAGATTTTAAAAGAATGTGAACCTTGCAGTGGAGAGCGGAGATGCCCAGAGCTGATCTCAAAGATGGTCAAAGTTTTCAATACTTTTCTGAAGCTTTAAAGAACTTTAGATCTTTTTAGTACCAAACAATTAAAACAGGAGTTTGTTTGGAATTACACACAAGAGATTACACAACATTTGATACCTGGGACTAGTGTTTTTGAGTTTAGTTTAGTTTTTTATTTTATTATTGTGTCATATATACATCCATATGCCCAGCCCGCATGGGCTTACATGACACCATAAATTAAAATGTTCCCAGATCAGAGTGCACTAGGTAAGCTATATTCATTCTCAAGAAACAAAAAGAGAAAGCAAGATGTCAAACTAATCAAACAGAATATCCTGTCTTCTTTTCCAAGCTTTTGAAGCAAAATTAGCAAATTTAAACACATCAAACTTAAACAGCCATTCCAGTTTCTGCACATCTGTCCGCCCCAATATTTCAGATTTTACTTCATGAAACTATAATTCTCTTAAAGCATCATATTTTATACAATGCAAAAGAAAATGGGACTCCGTTTCAACTTTGTCCAACTCACACATCTCAAAAGTTTTATGCACACATTACAATTCTGCATCATTGTTGGTGTGATTTGTCCTGGAATATGATTTGTGTATTTATTTGTGAATCCATGTTGAGACGGTGCAGAGAATTGTGAATTCATGGTGCTTTAAACAGCCTCAATCCATTCTTTGTGTATTGGCCCCTAACTTTTTACTGATGTGGTCACCTGGGACTATTTAAAGTAGGGAACAGTCAACCACTAATAAAAAGATGATTTATTAGGACATTTAGAGACCTAATAAAAAATGACCTTCATGGGTCTTAAATTTGTACCCAATTATAAGCTGGAAACAAAAATGGGAACCACTTGTGATAATAGTGATGTTTTGACCCACAGAAAACACAAATTTGTGTTTATTATTTGAAACTGGCAGAGGTTGTGTGTGTACCTGCTGTCAGTGGTTGCCTGTTCTTCTGCACGTGGGTCATGCTGTAGAAGCTTCAGGATCTCGGCTGTGTGTAAAGTGTGGCGTGCGTGCTCGTGCGAGCTGTGTAGTGTGTCGACGCATGCTGGCGGTTGTGTGTCTGTCAGCACGGATAGACATGCAGACGGGGTTAATCTGTAGAGATCTCTGGGCGTTGACAGGGTGCCGTCTGGTATCCACAGCAACCAGCAAAGGTTGATGTTGCTTCACGTATCACGACGGAGCACTTCACACACGTCCGCAGCGCCACCTTGCACATTGCCGCGGTGGAGCCTCGAGACACTGGGAGGTACCGATGTGAGGCAGAGAACGAGAAGGGCAACAGCTCGCAGTCGTTGTGGCTCGATGTTTGTGGTGAGTACATGAAGGTTATGACTATGAATGTAAAGCTGCAGTCAGTTTACATCTTCTACAAAGATTTAACTCTGTGGTTCACTAACTCTTTTTCTGCCGGGCGCCCTTTAGCAGATGAAAATCACGATTAATCGCACTGGGGGTAAGCCTCCGCAGTGTCTCCCTGTAGTCACAGTGATGGAAAAGAACTACACTGCTGCATCTTTGAATGTCTCATTTCAGACAGCTGAGTTGAAGAGTCAAATGTAATTCTAATATCGTTACCTTCGATTGACCAGAACGTCCTTATTATATTTTAAAATAAAAGAAGGGTGGAATTCAAACAGCAAGTTAAATATTCTCAGCTTTAGACAATAAAAAAATTCCAAATAAATACTAAAAATATATCTCTTTAAATGTGAGATAATGGAATTTCAAGAAATGCAATTAAAAAATGGATTTAACCATTGAGATTTAGCGATTAAACAAAAGTAAATACAAAAATGTTAAAGTTTTACAGCCTTGGTTAATTGATTTCGGAAAAAATGCCAAATTAGAAATTTGAATTTCATAAATTAGGTCTGCCTTTTCTACACTCCACAGACCTCTGTTTTCCTGCACACAATGAAAGACTATACAATAAAAAGCTTGAATATTTCGGGGCACTGGTGGTGCAGTGGTGCAGTGGTTAGTGCGCCACCAGCGCCCATTAATGGAGGCTGCGGTCTTCCGGGCGGGCGGCCCGGGTTTGGGTCCAGCCTGTGGTTCCTTTCCCGCATGTCATTCCCCACTCTCTCTCTCCCTGATTTCTGACTCTATCCACTGTCCTATCTCTACATTAAAGTCACAAAAAGCACCAAAAAATAAAAATAAAACTCTTGAATATTTTTTTGACAATATCTTATTAATTTTTTTTCTTATTTTTCAGAAAAGGGATTCATCAACTTGTCGCCTACACAAAACAAAACCATCCAGGTGCGTTCAGGCGATAGCTTGTCCCTGAATGTTGACTTGGAGGCTTATCCGAAGCCGCACACTTTCTCCTGGAGCTTCACGGGCAGAGAGCTGATGAACACGTCGGACCACGTCATCACTACACACAGCCACGAGTATAGGTGAGATAACACAAACACAGACCTGCTGCCAGTGCTTCACTTCTACACATTGTAGCACTTAGATTTAAAAGTTCATTACACTCTGTTCGTGGAATTTAACACCTCCTGCTTGGCTGCGGCTGCACTGAGATTCTTGAAAGGCCCTTGAGCAGAATATAAATGGCTTTCACAGAAAGAGAAACCATGACATATCCTCATTAAAACGTCTGTTCTGCAGATCAAAATATTACATAATATTAACCCAGGCTGGTAATGCAGTTCAGCTCTGCTTTCTATTGACACTGGAAGAGTGGGACGTGACTCTCAAGTGTCTGCTGGACTGCCAACAGCAAACACAGGAAACCATTTTGAACCTCTTTTATAACGATCACGATGGGGAAAAGAGATTCCCTAAATAGGAAACTTCTAAGAGTTAACCTTTGTTTCGCATTTACATTCTGTCAAAAACAACAGAAGACAAACAGAAGACTGTTTGTAATCATTAATGCAAATATTTGAGCATTTCATGTTTTCTCAAGCAGCTTTCACAAGAACTAGGGAGATCACACTCTTTTCTGTTTATACACAACTGGAAATTAATTTAAGTTTGGCTCTATTATTACTTACATTGGGACTTTCATGTCTAATAGGTAGGGCCCGACTGATATGGATTTTTACCGATATCGAGGGAGAAATCTTTCTATCTATATCTATCTTCGATCTGTAGCGATAGATAGTTATACATAAACATATTTATTGTGTTGATCCTTCATATGCAGTTATCAGATGTACAGAATAATAAAGGCAAGATGGTCACTTAAGTGGAAAGTAACTGTGTTATGTATATGTATCACTGCTTGACACTCTGGACAGTGAAAAGGCTTGTGGTAATCCACACAGCACACTCTCCTGGTGACAGCCTGAAAGAGAACTGCTAGTGTAACACAACCATACTCAGATCAAATGCTATTTGACTGGTGAATAAATCTAGTAATATCGGCACACCGGTACTCATAGTCACTGGATATGCTAATATCGCCCGATATTGTCAGCTGGCCGGTTAATTGGTCGGGCTTTTCTAATGGGTACTCAAACTTTTGGAATTAGCTGCAAAACAGCTGCAACCTAGTCCTTTAAGGTAATTGCACCTGATCAAAGTGAGTCCATTAAAAGTTGTGTTTTTTTGTCACTGATATGCTCAGATTTTGCTTCTAAGTGTTTTAAATAAAAAGGGGATCTTGCAAAAAAAAAATATTGGAAGGGGCAAAAACAGGCACTTTAACACTTTAACAAAGCCCATTTCCCATGGCAGGCTGTTAAAATGCTGCTGGATAAAGAAATCTACAGGAATAATACACATTAAACATTTGCACCAATTTTATTTTTCCAGGTACAGCAGTGAGCTGCGTCTGGTGCGACTTAAAATGTCCGAAGGCGGAGTGTATACCTTTAAAGCCTCTAACCGTGATGCATCAGTAAACCAAACCTTCTCCATCTTTGTGATCAGTAAGTTATTTCATAGATTTTTTTAAAGGTTTTTTTCCCCCTGAAGCCATGTAATGAATCTCATTACTCCACATTGCATTCATCTTTGTTCACTGACGTGTGAAAAGGTTTCATTGACCATTTCTTTTTGTGTGAAACGAGGTCTTTCTCTCTCCTATTCAGACCTCCAAAAGGTTTAATTCTGACCTGACATGTTGTGACATTAACCTGTGTTTGTTAGGTAAACCTGAAATTGTGTCACATGAGGGCCCAGTGGATGGACAGGTACGCTGTGTGGCGGAAGGGTTCCCTGCCCCGCAGATCGCCTGGTACTACTGTGAGCAGCCATATGTTAGGTGAGCTTTTTTTAAAGGCCCTGAAAACTGCTTTCTCCATTTAACTTTCATTAAAGCTAGGACAGTATGGTTGTTTACAAAACTGCAGTTCCTTGAGTGTCCACTTGAGGCTGGTTACAGAGGGGGGGTGGGTTATAACGCACCTGTTTTGATTATATTAGGTAAAGCTAAAATAAATGTGCATAATTAGGGGTGTGGGTGAGTTGTAGCTCTCTTATAGGAAGTTGACTGAAAGCTATTTTGAGACAACATTGCCAAAATGGCATCCAACATGGTTGGGCTCAAAGCCCCCCTTTAGAAACCAACAGGTGACTTCACTGGGACTATGTCACTGTTTTATACAGTCTATGAGCAACTCCTTAACCCGACAGGATTCAGGTGCGCCATCCTCTCTAGCCTCCATATGCTGTGTATGTCTCCGGTGCATCCCTGATTATATTTTCAACTGATGCACTTCCAGCACAAGCTCAACATAGCAGAGTGTCCCGACCAGGAAGTCAGACTCTGGAACACAAAGAGTCAATTTCAAAATAAAATATTACGTAGAGACTGCTGACTGTATATCTCAGCGCTATATCAACATTATATCAAAACAGACATCAAATCAGGGAGCACTGTTGAACTGAAGGCAAAAACCACATTGGAATTTTACCACAGGGCACATGGATCCTGTGGGGTCTCGGTGTTAAACACAGTTTAGTTCATTTCAGAAACTGTTGAGCTGAGACACTTATCATTTTGTAAGTCAGCCAGTAAGGTCATCAGGCTGAGTTAAGATTATAAGGCATGCTTCCACAGCCAATCAGCTTGTGGATAAGTCAGGTGGCCAAGTCAGCTACAAACTCAGCTGATTAAAAATACAATCTCTGAACTCATCCGCTATCATCTGATGATGATAAAGCCTCTGGGGGCAACCGCCAATTTTTCATGACACACATTTTACACAACAGATTGTACAGGACACCAAAAGCTTGTCTTCAACAAAAAATTTGCAATGAAATGCAGAATCAATATATAGGAAAGTCAAAAATGCACTTTTAACTTGTGGTAGTTAAAACTTGTGGTCTTTTAAACTGTCAAAATGTCATCCTTCAGCCTTGGGTTGCAGCAGCAAACATGTCAAGTTTGCAGGTCATTTCTAATTCACAGAGTTTAAGCTCTTCTAACATTTAAGGTGTTGCACCAGCAGATATAGTTCCAAAGTAGACAGAGGTTTCACCTCTAATCTTTAAACTAGCTCCCAGTAGGTTTGAAGTCCTCCATAGCTGCTGCAACAGGACACAGGCCATTTAACCCTTTGACTTCCACACGAAGAAATCCATTTGCAAAAAAATATTTATTGCAAACATTACTGATTTATAAAATTGTGTTCCTGCCTCTTCATTTCAGGTTTTATTTTTCATATTACCCAATCAGGAAGCAGATATGCAGGTCAGCCAGCTGGTTGACTGTTTAGGGTTACTTTGGGCATGAATGGATTTCTTTCATTTCTGCAACAAAATGTTTAGTTTGTTCATATATAAACATCACAGAGAGTAGAACTTGTTAAAATAACCTATAATTAATTTAACAAAGCGCCACCCATTGGACATAATCAGGGTTACATTACACTATTCAATGAGGTGAATGAGGATAAACAGCCAAAGAAAGGTTCTCAGAGTTTTAAATACAGCAATATGGCGGCGGAAAAAAGGTCAACCGCATGGTTACAATGCAAGTCAAAGGGTTAAATTGAAAAACAACATTTTGGGGGGGAAATCGAATCCAGGCGACTGAGGCCAGGCCATACTTAGCAACAACATAATTCTATTTTTTACTGAACTTTGGATCCGCAGCCTGGAGTTATCATGGTGGTTTGACAGATATAAGCAGATAATTAATTAGTTTTACAAAGTCAATGAACAAATGTTACAATGACAATAATCAGAAGCAGCTCAGTGGTATCTAACAAAATGACTCGCTGTAAAACATCCATATTATTAGAATTATGAAGATTAAAAAATGATATAAATGAGACACATTTTCATTTATATTGCATTTTTCTTGGTGGGGGTGTAGGGGAATTTTTTTTAGGCTACATCTTAGTTTGTTAGCTTGATGCTAACAAATAACAGGAAATACACGGGCTAACAGAAAAAGCAGCGCAATGCTGTTGACTTAAGAAACGTTCTATTAATCATGATTAACTACTGAAATATAACAATTCATTTAAGACATTTTATTTAAAAAATCAAATTAAAAAAATCAGCAAATCAAGAGAGCAGTCCTTAAAACGTGCACTGTGGTAGAAGAGTAAGTGTATACTTATTCTCTTGCAACTACTGGGTTTGTTTGTCACTCCAGGGGTCCACAGATATTTAAAACAATCTGTTGCAAGTTATGTTAATGAACAATTTTTATTGTTATATAAAGCGAGGGCTAAGCTCTGCTGTTCCGTTTTTACCAACAATACAAAAATCTTTAACATCTAGAGCGTCTTAAAAGTCATATTGAAGACGTTTTGCACTGAGTCAGGAATGATGATGACGGTGGAACATGGGATCTGGGGATTTTAACAGTTCTGACTTGTGATTGGTTGACATTGATAAGATTGACACGCGATGGACACGGCTCATCGCGTGTCAAACATGAAGGAAGTCTGAGGACAAACACTTGGTGACACCAATCCCCACAATGCACGGGCAGTGAATCATGACTGATAATCCAAACTTCATCCCGTTATTTATTAATATTATTAAATCCAATTAAGTCTCATTACATTTAGACACGCACATGACCTGTATGTACAGAAACAGAGTTATGTGACCTGAGAGCACTTGGGTAACAGATGCTTTTAACACTGAAATATATTGGAGCCATGGTCGACTTTTATACACTTCAGCTTTACGACATGAGCGCGGAACAAACCCCGACTGTTATTATGACTTCTGTTAAAACCATCTGCTGGAAAACAAACTGAAATGTGAGCACATGTGTGGTTGGTTCACTCTAGTGGGTAAAGCTCTGTTTCCACAGAAGACTTAGTGTAGGAATGTGTGTCCTGCAGAGACTGAAGGGGGGGAGACCACAGATGAATAGCTCGCTGATCCTGTGTCAATAAGGTGTAATCTTCTGCCTTTAGGTGCTCCCAACAGGTGAATGCCACCCAGGAAGAGCATGTCATCACCATCACCCTGTTCAGCCCACGCTTTGGGAAGACAGAGGTGGAGAGCAGGGTGAACATCAGCAGAGGACGCTTCAACACTCTGGAGTGTGTGGCCACAGCGGAGGGAGAGCAGGCCTACACACTCTTCTCTATCAGCGGTGGGTTGGTTTCTCAAAGTAATAAAGTAATTTTTTTTTTTTCAGAGAAAATAATTTAGAGAGTTGGGTTTGAAAAAAATCAGCACACCAACCATAAAAATAATGACCGAACAGTTCCTCGGCTCGTACACCCAGCATTAGCTTTAGTGGTTGGTTATTAACTGAAGGGGGTTTCATTGTTGACCACAACTGTCTATTTTAGGCTGGTGGAGTTAAATGCAGGTGGCTGGGGATCTATTTTCAGTTGCGGATGGGGAACTCACTGGAGGGTGTTCTTTATTTTCTTTAATAACATGATCCTATCATTAAGCAATGATTTACTGGCTTTGAAACAAATAGGGGAATCTTACCTAGCATTGCATGCGTATGCTAACTGTTAGCTAAGAGATGGATAGCAGATCATTTTGTAACACACCACTTAGTAACATAATTGAATAAATGCGTTTCAGATACTTCCTGATTCTAATGTTCCACTGCTGTGTAGATGAGCTGGGTAAATGTAAACCAGAATGGGACTGGCCACGCCCACTAAGTCTAGAGAATTTTTTTTCATTTTTTAAATTAGCGGTTTTCTTTAAATTAGATTATCTCTGGGCCAACATATGGGATTGCTACTTTAAAAAAGTAACTAGCTGCATTACAAGATTACTGCAATTAAAAAGTAACTTGTTACTTTACTGCTTTACCCACTGAGAAAAGTAATGTGTTTCAGTACTGTCGTGTTAAAAACATAAAAAAGCCTTAAAGGCTTAATATTTGATTTTTTGATCCAGCAGACGTCGCCCTTGAGCACCAGCATGAAACCAAAACAACTTGCGCTGCATTATTGTGTTAGCATGCTAATGCTAGCGATCTTTATTCTGCTCGTATCTTCACACTGCATGTAAATTTACCTGAAATGAGCGTGATCTAGAAACACAGTTAAGCAGTGAGTACAGTATGTTATTCTTCTTTTCTCTAGTCCCTCAATTAAACAACTTTTATACTCGAGGGGAGGAGTCAGCCGGCCGTCCTGGCAATGTAAACAAAGTTAAGATAGGACTCTGAAAACTCTGAAAACATCACAGACAGTGGGACTCGGGTGTTACACCCATTGTAGACAGTCATGACTCACAGAGTTATTTTCAGAGGATATACTTGATTTATATTATATTTAAGTGTGAAAAATCACATACAAAGCCTTTAACTCATAACCTACCAGTTAACTGGTCTAGACAGCAAGTAGCCAACTGTGTGTCTGCCTTTGAGGGGGTGTGCAATGGCTCTCTGTCCTCTTACAGCCCCTCTTACATCTGTAACTCTGCAGCCCAATCACAGGAATGACAAGCGCAATATAACATGTAAAAAAAGTGAAAATTATGTTAATATTTCCATGGAGTAAAAAATGGCTTCTCTGCCATCTTACTTGCTGAATTAGTTAGCTACGCATGCATGCTGATACATCTGAAGGCTGACCTTCTGCTCATGCGCAGCGTGCCCAGAGGAAGCGAAACAGTAACTGCAGATGCTTCAGGGAGTTATTTTCTTTAATTTTGAGGCGACAAAAGGAAGAGAGAAATGCACAGTTTTTGTTTTCAGTAACAGACAACATTTATGAAAGTAACTATTAATGGATAACTTGATTTGCGTAACTGATGCGTTACATTACTCGTCGCTAAAGAATAGTAATCTGAGCACTCTAACGGATTACTTTGTAGAGCATTACCCCCAACACTGTTCTTAGCCTTGAAGATTACTCACGAGCCGGGTTATAGGGTGGTTGTTGGTTGATTATTTTGTCCAACAAATGTTAATAATTATTTTAAAGAATATAATTTAAAGAAATTGCACGCAACTAAAATCTCCGCTGCTACAACTCTAACCTAGGGGAAACACGGCAGCGTCTAAGTAGGTCCATACACAACATGATAATAAAGGGGGCGCCTGTCAGTCTCATGTTTTGTTTCTCAATTGACGTAATCCTCCGCATGTCCTCACCTTCAGATTAGAATTAAGCACAACAGAGTCAACAGTACCTCAGAGGACACACTGACATGAACACCTATTTTCAGATTAGAAATCTTTCCCTCTACTGTTGTTGGTTTCATTTAAACTTCATAGAGTGAACTCAAAGTTCAGCGACACCATGCTCTGTGGATCAAAACAACAAAGTTATCGTAGTCGTTTGTGCCCCACAAGGGATTTAATCCTCAACCCAAAATATTTACTGCAAGCATGATTCAGTCGATGATTAACCCACAAATGTGGTTTTACAACTGGAGTTTGGCCGTCTGTGATCTGTTAGGTAAACATTAGCAGGGAGAGATACCTCAGATATGATTGGCCTGGATAACATATTGTCTCTAACAGAAAGGAATTAGCTTTAGTCCATTGTTTTCTTTATGACTCAGAATCCACCCTGCTTTAACGGCTTCCCCACCTGCTGCACATGTCCGCTGAACTAAAAGTACTGAAAACCTGTCCCTGAATGTGGAGACCTGGGTTTATGCATGATGGGGGGGCAAATACAGCGGGTATGTGGGCGAGCTTCATGCTTCAGGAAGAGTGTGTTTTCTTAGCCATGCAGGACAGACCTCTGGGAGAGCGCATGCCCATTATTTTGTGCTTCACAGGCAGCAGCAGCAGAGCAGGCGGAGGCAGAGAGTGTGGCGCTCAGTGGGAGTCCTGGCGGTGCGGGGCGTTCAGGGGGGCTGTGGGAGGCTGTGGAGGCGTCAGTGAGCTGCAGAACAGAAAACACAGAGAAGCTTTAGAAAGCACTGACAGGTTTACAGGGGATTAGTTCCTGCAGACTCTGCATTCTCTGATTTGAAGTGAAGAGAAAGCTTCTTATCTCTAAAGAGCTTATTACACCCCGGTGTACAGAGGAGCAAAACAATAAGGCATCACAGACGAGGAACAGGACACTGATGATGTGTATTTACTTACAAACACAGCTGCAAGAGCATCAAATACACATCGCAATAGTGCAACAGAGAAGCAATTCCATGCAAAGAAAGTGCATAAACTCTAACAGAAAATGAACGTCTGGGAACTTTCTGTTTGTTTACATGTTTAATTGGATTAGTTTTCTGTGATTTGAGCAAAGTGGGCTTCAGTGTGACTTAGCCCTCCATGGCTTACCTTAATGCCCCTCTGCAATGTCATTGAGAGTGTAAACATGGCAGACCACTGAGACTGACACTGATCATCACTGTACCTAACAACATCATTTCTGTGTCCCTGCAGAGAGAACTGTTCCACATGATCTGTTCACCCCTTTGCTAATTGGCTCCGTGTCAGCAGCGTGCATCCTCTGCCTTGTCCTTATCATGCTCTTCTACAAGTACATGCAGGTAGGACAGGTCTGCACTTTACCGGCATGGTGGCACACCCTCTTTTTTATTCCAAATCTTGAGTCAGAACAAGTCAAGAAAAAGAAAATATTGAAATCCCCCGAATTAAAATTTGAACAGTAATTTATGTTTTGTTATCTTGTGCCTGCATTGATGCCAGAAACCCAAATACCAAATCCAGTGGAAAGTTATCGATGGCATCCATGGAAACAACTATGTGTACATTGACCCCACCCAGCTACCGTATGATCACCAGTGGGAGTTTCCTCGAAACAATCTGCGATTTGGTAAGCACCCTGCACTCCCTTTCGGCCTCCAAGCTTTCATTAATCTGTCCTTTCTGACACTCTGCAGCAGCACAGAAATCCTGGTTTCACTGTCTGAGGTGTAAATCTGCATTGGGGCAGAGAGATGTGGAGATAAATGGGGGTTTGTGTCAGTTAGAAAGCCTAACAGAACAGGAGGCATGACATCAGCGCTGCCAGCCTCAGGCTACTTCTCCCTGATTAACTGACGCTCTGTTTTCTGTGTGTGGACACAGCATGGAGGTCTTAACCATGTCTGTGGTCATCAGCGGCTAACCAGTTCCACGGCTCATTAATGATGAAACCCCACTCCCTCACTGCAAACAGGATTTTGTTGACATATTGTGGGTGTTGTTTTTTAACAAACCTCCTTAAACAGGATCCTGCGTGTCCTGGTGACTGCGCACACAGCCCGGGGGCTCAAACTGGTGTTGTTCTAGGAACGCTGGCATGGGGCCAATTTGTGGGAGGGATACAGGATGGGGAGTAACAGTTTTTGTCTGTCTACTTGTCCACAGGGAAGACGCTGGGATCTGGTGCATTTGGGAAGGTGGTTGAAGCGACTGCATATGGCCTCTCCAAAGCAGATTCAGTCATGACGGTGGCTGTGAAGATGCTCAAATGTAAGTGCTGTTGACAAACATACAAATGAAGTGGGACAAGCACTGCAGCTACTCCTACTATGTGAAAAATGTGAAATTGTTGAATGAAGGCCTAATAAATCACTTGCCTGCAGGTGGTCATGCAGTTATTAAGTGGATGTTCTATATTTGATGGTTTTCACTGCCTAATCAGTATGTTTAACAGACATATTTTTAGTTCCATTAGCCTCCAGCAACAAGCAAACAATTTGCCAACACATTCCAGATCAGGACGCTATCATAGCTTCATTTACTGCTCACCAATCATGATGCAATTTTTTTTTTCCCACAGCGAGCGCTCATGCCACAGAGAAAGAGGCGTTGATGTCAGAGCTGAAAGTCCTCAGTTACTTGGGAAACCACATGAATATTGTCAACCTGCTGGGAGCGTGCACTGTTGGAGGTGTGGCAGCCTTGTTGTCCTGCATTATCATTTATTGAGTGAATACTAAAACTTCACTCAAGATTATTTTGGGCATAGGAGCCCTGTTTTAAAAATCACCAATACTTTTATTACTATTAATAAAAATAATAATAATTAGTTTAAGGAGACTCTGTAGCTCAGGCAAATATGAGGGAGTCCAAACTGTAAAGACAGAGCGGGTTAAAGAATAATGTAAACTGTATCATGTGTCCGTGTGACTGAAAGTTGCAGCTTCTGAAAGCTTTGGAAAAAAGTTTTAAAAATAAAATAGGACCCAGTATGGACTCTTGCGGAACACCATTTTATATATTATAAAAAGCATGAAGATAAATCATGTCTTGGACACTTATTTAGCTTCAAAAATCAGCAATGTGTTAGCCAACCTTTGTGACAGAACAGAGTTATTAGCAGGTTAGAGGTATTAAATAAGTCAGATAAACATTAAACACAGTGTTAAGTCAATAAGACATGTAATGTAGTCATGTAAGACCTAAATTGTTAGCGTCAGTGTTGTGTTGCAACAGAGTGCATGTCAATGGGAATGGCTTATTGCGAGAAAGACCTTTAATTGATTCTTTGTTTGACCTTAAAAAAACATGGCTAAAACTAAGATAAAATCCTCTTCAAATGAAGTATACTTCTTTTAAATATTAATTAAACATTTTTGATCGTAAATGAGTGATGTAATTTGCTTTCTTTCCGTTTGACTGCAGGACCCACACTGGTGATCACAGAGTACTGCTGCTTTGGAGATCTTCTTAACTTTCTCCGCAGGAAAAGGGAATCCTTTATCTGCTATAAGCTGGAGGAGGATTACTACTACCGCAATGTCATGCCGCATGGAAAAACAGCTGGGTGAGGATCTTTTCTGTGTATTATTAAGATGTGGTTCTATCGTGTGTGGGACAGAGAGGAGAGTATTTACTACCCAGAACGTGCGTGGGAGTATTGTATTTGGACAGCAGCGTGCCTATGTGTGGTTGTGCTCAGCTGAGACCAGACTGCTCCTTTTCCTCTTCACAGTGACAGCTTGAACGGCTACATGACCATGAGGCCTTCTGCTGCTGGCAACATGCCGTCCGGCTTCACAGAGAAGAGACGCTCACTACGCAAAGGCAAGCCAGCCAGCCATTCATCAAATTTCTCAGTCCAAAAATACACAGAAAACTGTTACAGCAAGACTTAAACAACTTTGGAATTTAATCCGTGTCCTGCTTCTTCTCCTCAGGTGGCTCCTACGTTGAAGCAGATGCACTGAGTGAGATGTTCGACGAGGATGGTCTGTCTCTAGACACTGAAGACCTTCTCAGCTTCTCGTACCAAGTGGCCAAAGGAATGGAGTTCTTAGCATCCAAAAATGTGAGCATCAGTAACAACTACCATACCAGATTTATGGATTTAAGATTTAGGCTTATTAACATTTATGTTGACCTATGAAAATACTTTTGAAACATCATATCCCAACCACTATAAATGTTTGACTATTCAATTTGATGATCTTTAGTTAAAGGCTTTATATGTGATTTTTCACACTTAAATATAATATAAATCAAGTATATCCTCTGAAAAATAACTCTGTGAGTCATGACTGTCTACAATGGGTGTAACACCCGAGTCCCACTGTCTGTGATGTTTTCAGAGTTTTCAGAGTCCTATCTTAACTTTGTTTACATCGCCAGGACAGCCGGCTGACTCCTCCCCTCACGTCTAAAAGTTGTTTAATTGAGGGACTAGAGAAAAGAAGAATAACATACTGTACTCACTGCTTAACTGTGTTTCTAGATCACGCTCATTTCAGGTAAATTTACATGCAGTGTGAAGATACGAGGAATTTCAATTTCAAGTTCTGTTCAGATCTGTCAAATGATGAGCCGGTAGTGATTTTCAAGGTATTACTGTAAACGGTACTGGATGTAAAACATTTTCTTTTTCACTACATGTTAGATCAGACTTCACAAAAGTTATTCAATAATACTCAGGAAACCAGCAGAATTATGTCTTTTTTTTCAGTAAAAAAAAAAAAAGAAGAAGCTAAATACCCACATTTGCATGTTATTTCATCGCCTGATTTTGTGTGAAAGTATGAGTGGTTTATATCTGCCCCATGGCTCAATTGGTAAACCAACTTGTACCCAGAGGTAGTTTTCAGAGGTCATGATGTCAAACCACAACAAGTTCTCCTCACCAACAATTAGATTATGCATGCATGTGAAAGTGCCCCCAAATTGACGACCAAACTTAAGTTGATGAAAAAGTCATAGTTCGGCAAGTTCTCTTTGGTTGGGAAAAAAAACTAAATCCATCATGCAGCTGCATTTAGTCTGCTTTACTCGCGCGTTGACCTGGTAGTTATGTTCTTGGTCGAGCCTTCCTTTAACAAAGAAAAAAAAAAAACACTCTCCCTCCTGTTTGAAAGTAAAAAAAGTGACAGAAATTTGGAGGATGTCTGACAGAAGTAGGAAAGAAGTGTCCATATGAGCTTGGGGTTAAAGAACAGCAGTTGTTGTGTACCCTGTGCTGTTCTGTGCAACATTACACTGACATCTCGCAAACATTTTTGCAATAGTTAGTTTGCTAGTTAGCAGCTACATACAAGTCCACAGTTAACAGAATCAGACTAAAGAAACCAGAGGACTCAAACTGCAATTCAGTGGAACCACAGTTTGGGAAGTGATGATGTAACTCTGTGTGTGAATAATGTTCCGTTTCCTCGCTAGTTATTTCAACATATTTAGCATCATTAATGTTACCTTATTTCAGAATCAGCTTATTGGCCAGGTATGCTTGAACACACAAGGAATTTTACTTTGGTAAACTGTGCTCTCTTTGTACAAAAGTATAATATTAATTATCAACAATAAACACAAAAAATAAACAAATAAGCAAAGACTAATATGTACAAGGCTAAATAGGACAATATAAGATAATACGATAAATTGTTGATGGCATTTGCATACCCTCTACTCAAGATTTGATATTCGTCAGGCTAGTTATTTTTCTTTACTCTTTTGTAGTTACAGCATAGCACGAGTTGAAAATGTAACTGTAAAATGTTCTTTCCCCCATGAATTCAAACAGCTTCTAATCCACCCCCAAATATAAAGTTAAAACAATGTATATCAAAGACATGCATTCACAAGTCGACTAAACTTACAAATGGGACTAGTTAAGGTAATATTCACGCAGTGTATGGATCATGTAGCAAGTGAACGGATCTAAAACGCATGTTAGAGCAACTGGATGAACTATTCATTAGTCACGGAGGTGAGATATTGTGGCCGGTAAGCTCCTGTATCAGTGTCAGAGGTTGTGTGTTACGGACTCAAGTGTAGAAATTCAGCACCAAACTGCATTAGAAAAAGCATCTTGTTCATGACTCGTGTTGTATTATTGATTGGTCATGTATATCACACGTATCAGGAGATGTTAAAGGCAGTGGGTGCGTTTGTTTTGCAGTGTATCCACAGAGACCTGGCTGCAAGAAATATCCTCCTGACTCAGGGAAGAGTGGCAAAGATCTGTGACTTCGGCCTGGCACGAGACATCACCACAGACTCCAACTATGTCGTCAAAGGCAACGTAAGTCAGCACCAAACACGTTTATTTGAGAAGAGAGGCGGCATACGATCAGTGGTGGCTGTCATGAAAGTTCCCACGCTTTCACACGCCATTCTCATCTTGAATCAACACCTGTGCTTTGAATAAAAAAATACTCTTGTTGAAAAGTTTCATAAATCTCTGGCAGGATTTGAAGTTGAATGATAAGATGTATATATTGCAGTAAAATTGAAGAGGAAGCCACTGCAGGGAGGCCAGATTTAGAGTTTTATGATCTTGTTTGTGTGAACAGGTGATAATGCTGGAGCAGAATTTTGGACCAGTTGAAGGTGATGAAGGAAAGTCTTAGTCAAACCTGAGTAGAGGGCCTATAGACAAAAATCTACAAAACAGGATAAATGCAAGGACACCCCTGTCAAGGCTTTTAATTAAGACTTGATTTTTTTATTTGCCATCGAAGGAAAAGCCAGAACCAAATGAAACTTCTACATTTCTACACTTTGTTTGGAAGTGTTGCCGATTTCCTCTTTCAAACTGTTCCTTTTTTTTAAATTGAATGTCTATTGAGAAATGATTGCCAGGGTGAATTTTGTCATATGATATCTAAAAGTTATTAGCAAACACGTAAGTTGTGTACATATTTTACAACACACATTCAAGAGCAAACAGCCGGGCAGCTGCCCTAAACTTCCTTCTTGCAGGTGACATACTTCATACATGACTTCTGCAACAGTGCTGCATTGTGTATCAGCAGCTGTGTGAAGTTCTCTCTTCAGGTGAGGGTGTAAAGTTGACACTAGGCTTTGTGACTGCTAACTACTGGTAAGGAAGTAACAACCTACTGAAACCAGCTGAACCTTCATCGCTAGGGTCATTAATTATATAAAGTCAAGAAGGCAGGTCGGCAGTCTACAATCAAAAAGACTCCAGTAGTCATTGGTATCATGCACATTAGATTTTATTTTTGTTTGATTAAGACATTGCACTACTAAGCTACATTTACAAAATTATGTTGAACAGTGTTATTTAACTCTATAGAAAACTGCTAACGGCATGAAAAAGTTCATTTTTTCTTAGTGAGATTAATTTTGTTGAATGCTGTTTTCAATTTCTTTTAAATGTAATGGTTTCTTATGTCAGAGATGCATTTTTTTATTTTATAAATTCATTAATCACATTTGCAACAAAGCCATTTCTGAAGTGTTGTTACGGCTGGCTCAAATACAGAACATAATAAGGGACACCACAAAGGTTTTAAGTTCTTAGTTTTTAGTTTATTGACAATTACACATAAAGTACCTGAAAAACCAGGAAACAAACTACTGAGGAGTTGCTGCTATGAAGTTGGGAGAGAGAGTGGTTGTTTAGGAGGCCTTGCCTAAATAGACTCAGCCTAATTGTCTACAGGTGCTGACAGCCAGCTGAAATCAACAGAAGTCACCAGAGGGAGCACCAAACAAACAGGAGACAATAGTAATGTAACAGTGTTTTGCAATGTAAAGATTTAGACATCGTTATATTCAAATTAGTTGCCAAACACAAACTTTCCCCCATGTAGAGTTAAATTATCACTTAACAAGTGTTGTGTAATTCACCAACCTGAACCGAGCCAGTAGCCTGCTGATGTGAAGAGTAATGTGAGTGTCTTCACACACATTAAAGTTACACTAAATGATGTAAATTAGGTTATAGGTTTGTAAGATCAGATATTTTCAGCTCAGTCTGAACACGTTAACAGAGTGGTTGTGGCCTCCCCCGGCCCCCCGAGTAAAAATCTGCTCAGGGTCCGTCCAACCTGACCCCTGAGCCATGTAAACCATCTGCCACACAGTCACACCTGACACCCCAGTACTCCCACTGCAGCATCCTGCCCTTAAAACAGTCCACCCCATCTGTCAGTCTAAAGCTAAAGACGTGGACAGAACAGAATGAGATACATGCAAAGCAACATTTATTAAAATGATGTTATAAGAAGAATTTATTAATATGATATTTTTTTAGAGAATATAAGAAGTAAAAGATAAGCCGGCTGAACTAGTTAGTATCGGCTGAATATCCAGCATCTATTTATCAAAGCTAATTAAAGCATGACATAACTTTTTTTAAATTATCTGCTGGAGTAGGCCACCTCACACTGAGCCATCCAGATTTCCTTTTCTACATTTATAATAGACCATCTATACTCAGGCATTGATGATTACTTTGGGGAAAAGATGTGTGTCTATATCACCCTGGATGCTGAACTATTTAGCCTTGTTATTGTCTGTTCCATCTTGCATAAGTGCAGAGTTGTAACTAAAGCTCAGCTGCCTTTCAGCATTTCTTCTCAAATGTTCATAGTCCTCCTTAATGTCCTCGAGTCCTGACTCAGAAACGTCTCAACAAGACTCAGCATTGTTTGCAGAACTCAAACTCAGAGATCATATAATCTGATGCTGTTCCAGCTGCTTACTCTGATTATGTGTATTGTCATTTATTGAGAAGGATGGTTATCAGTTTTACACACTATAATTAAAGGGGTGGGGCCCGTGCATAATTCGTGAGATCTAAGATAACTTGTGTAGCCGTCCTGCTGACACAAATATTTCCTAATGAGTTAATCATACAGAATAGATTAAACAAAGTCACACCTATAATTACAATTACAAAGGATCAGTACTACAGTTTTACATCAGCTGTTTGTATTGGCAGTGATGTTTCAACTTGTGATGGCACAGTTAGTGACTTCCTGTTAAGTTGTATAGTCTTTTGTGTTTTGATAGAATAGCGACTCGACAGGTGTGGTTTTGCAGGATGGAGGCAGCAGTGCATGCCACAAATAAATGTAAAATCCTCTGTGTTTGAAGCAGGCATGAGGTCTTCTGTAGGACCAAAAATATGATCCAGTTGTCCTCTACTGCTTGCTCGTGTTCTTGTGCATAAACAGAGATATGTTATGTTGTGTCTCCAGATGTGTGTACTGTACCTGTCAGCAAAACAATGTTGGTTGTGTTATCAGTATAGCTAGACTTGAATCATTTAAGTATTGTGCATTTCACAAAACAACTCTTTGCTTTAAGGTTTAAGTTCTCTTTCACCCAATTTATTTTCTGTTTTTTGCAAAGGCCTCGGTTACATTTTTCTGTCTGTCTTTTCTTTTTTTTGATACTTTCTTTTTATTGATATCTTCAGAGTAAAACAAGACAAAAGAAAAGAAGGAAAGAAAAAGGAAGAAAAAATAAAAAAATAAAAAAGGTAACATGGGCCATACGTTAGTCAAAATACACAAATCAGGGTTTTTTCAGTTAAGATGAGTTACATTCAGTACAGTACATATTCCATTTCTTCCAGTCTTTTATATATTGGTCAAACGTTAATCTAAATGAGAAGGTCATCTGTCTTTTCTTTTTGATTGCTACACTTAAAACACACAGTTGAATTCATAGCCGTAAAATAGAAAAATAGTGCACATCCAGTGTAACAGTCATTGTGGCCTATGGCAGCCAAGGAATATTTCTAAATGTACAAACCTGTGACGGTTGATGAGCTGCCTGTGATACGTCAAGTGAATGATGAGATGTGCGTATTTGCATTATTGTCACAAGTTTCAGGTACGAGCGTCTGAGACGGCTTGTGTGTTTCCAGATCCTCCGGCACATCATGTATGCAGATCTGACACTTAATACATTCTGTTCAGAATGTAGAAGTCCTCAGCGCTGGGGAAAGGTTTCACCTTCTGAAGTAGTTACACTTTCTATCTTCTCACCGAGTGTTTCCCTTTCAGGCTCGTCTGCCGGTGAAATGGATGTCTCCAGAAAGCATCTTTGAGTGTGTGTACACGTTCGAGAGTGATGTGTGGTCCTACGGCATCTTGCTTTGGGAAATCTTCTCACTAGGTATGTTTGTCCATTGGTTAAGCCTCTGCTCTTTTGTTTGTTAGAGTCTCTGTGAGTTACAGAAAGTAATTGAAGCTTCTCGCTGAATGTAGGAAACAGTCCTTACCCCGGCATGCCTGTGGACGCCAAGTTCTACAAGCTGATTAAAGAGGGATACAGGATGGATGCTCCTGAGTTTGCACCCAGTGAAATGTGAGTTATTTACTGGAAATATGAGTGTAAATGTGAGTAAAGCAGGCGTACACAACAACAAGCTTCTGATTCCACCCTTCTGACAATCCTCAGTAAAGTCCAAACATTTGATGGTTCAAGTGACAATCTTTCCAGATTTTCTCGTGGTGTGATGTAAGGCGTGTTAAAAATGGTCCGCTCAGGAGGACGGATGAAAATTCAGGCCGCACTAGTTTCAAATCATAAATATAAAAATACAATATAAAGATACTCTGATGTATGTGTGTGGGGGGGCCCCGAGGACAGTTGAGCCTCTGTGGATCGTCATATAAACAAAAAGAAACAAGCTTACTGATGAAGGAAGCACAACAATCGCAGCAAATCAATTTATTTCCAACCTCCAACTCAATCTGTAACATTTACTGCACAGCCCATGTTTACACCGTCTCCAACACATCATCCAGTTTTTTGTTTTTTTCATTTGTCTTTGTGAACCATCAGTGAAATTGTCTATGAACTACGATAGCGGTTATCATGTTTGTGGTGTGCTCTTTGGGTCATCTATCATTATTTTGTCATAGTATGTAGGGTCTCTCACATTTTCAACATTTCTTTAAATTTATGGTGAAGTATGATCGGAGGGATGGAGTGAAAAATAAATGGATGTGGTGAGCCATTAAAGGCTTCCATATGTGGGACTTCCTCATTCATCTGTATCTGGTTTCTTATTACTATAACTGAGTTTGAACTGTGAGAATTCTTCAATTGTCACACAAAAATGTAGACTAGATGGCGACTCAGTAGAAGTAAACATGTTTTTGTGGATCTGTGGTGCTTTGCAGGTATCAGATTATGCGGTCGTGTTGGGATGCTGACCCCTTCAACAGATCCCCCTTCAGGAAGGTCGTGGAGAGGATTGAGCAGCAGCTGTCAGATGCCACTAAGCATGTAGGTCTCATCCCCTTTGCGTTTACTACCTCTACACAGGGTTCAACAAGCGCATTCATCAAAAATAATGAAACGAGAAGTCTTCACACTTTAAAACTGGATAATAAGGTAGTGAAACAGACTGCAGGCTCTCTGACTCGTGATGTCTTTCGACACTGTTTTAAGTTTTAGTACACACAGACAGAAATGTTCATCCATATTTGGCAACATGAATGTAAACACTGTGCTCTAATCTAACTTCCAAACCAAAACCAATCAACACTTTAATTCTGTCTGAAAACAGCTAAGATAACATCCTAGGTGACTTCTTCGTCACGTGTTTGTGGGAAAACTGTTTTTAAAGTCACCTCTAGTATTTATACGTATTTTAGCTATACGTCCCCAGAGGGAAATTTTACTGCTCAAGGCTTTCTCTTCTGCATCTCAGGAGACATAATTCTGATTCTCATCCCAGCCTCTTTCAAGTTTCAAATATTTCTCATTTATTTATTTTTTGTTTCTCCTAAAATTCACTAGGAGAAATGGTTGAGACTATAGCCATAGGAGTCTTATTTGAGACTTAATGGACATATCTTGTTAATGGCTCATTGTCATCTCCATAGGAGAACATAATAAGACAAAGAGAGACTGTCATGAGCCCACTAAAATTAAGCAGCCTTACAAATTCCAACCTACATAATAAACATCAAATGATCAACATTTGTTTCAATAAAAACAAACAACTTGATATGTTATAGCAAATACTTCCTTTATTAAAACAGCTGATTAGGAAGTAAGTCTTCATTTTCATCATCAACCAATACTGATGCTTCTATAAAGAACAGGTTTCAGCTGGGTGACCAACAAAACTAAAACAGACAATCAGCAAGTTTGCCCTTTTATGTTACTTTTAGTTCCTGTTATGTGCACAAAATCTATGCAGACTGAAAGTTCTTCATAAGCTTTAACCTAGACTCTTTGCAGAAACACCTACTTTTAGAACAGTATCTGGTGATGGGAAAACGATCCTCAACATGAACAATTTCCAGTCCTTTACCTCATGCAGCATTTCTTAATTAGATGGTCTCAAAATGTCCATTCAATGTGCCACATTTAAGCCCTTAGCCCTCTTGTGACACTTGTTTATAAGGGCTTTCTTGGCCTTTGCTTTCTCCACTGGTGTCCACCCTTTCCATGTGCCACAGTGCATGACGTAAGCTGCAAAAATAAAAGAAAGCACAAATCACAAAAAAATAATTACAGATTAATACAGTAACAGTGATCTTCATGGAGTTCATCAAGTTTTTAGTTGTTACCAAAGAGACAATCAACATCCAGTCTTTGGAGTTTCCTCATTGTAACTTCATATCTTGTGCCTTTCAAATTACCGCTGACTTCTGACTAGATGGTGCAGAGAGCAACAGGTGAAATAGATATAGGCCATCAGATTTAGTTGATAAAATCAGTAATTTTTACCTTATGAAATTATTTCTGTGGCTAAATAAAAAGAAACCTATTTCTCTAACAAGTACATCTTTGGACTGTGGGAGAAAGCCGGAGTGCATGGACATGCACGCATTGGGAGAACATGCAAACGCCACACAGGAAAAGGCCTGTTCAACAGGCATTTTAGAAGGAATTTTCTTGCTGTGAGGCAACAGTGACATTTTTAAAATACAGACAGAGAGCAGAATAAACAGCATATACTTCTGGATTATAAATATACTACTAATAATATTTTATTCTCACATTATTTGTTTCATTTTGCAATTCATTGCAATAAACAGTGTGTCAAATTTTGGTATGTGTTCAGAGCTCCTTTCTAATTTGCAGGATGGAAATAAAAAATGAGAGCATTTATAAGTTTTGGGTGTCCAGCTGGTCAATTTTTAGTTCACTGCTGTCATAACAAAGTTCAAAATACTTACTCTAGTATGCACACTGAAAAAAGGGTCAAAATGAGTGATATACTTACTTAAAATCCCATTTACTTTTGACTTCTCCAAGACTGTCTTCCCCTCTGACACTTTTCCATGTTTCCCAAATGCCACTGCATTTTGGCACTCCTCTGATGGTGCCTCTGTTGGTGTTGGTGACCAACACCAACTCTAGGTCGTAGTTGCTCAATACTCTCCAAAAAGCATTACGTTGGTCACCACCTATAACAGACAAGGTGAATTATTTAAAGATAGTGGCATTCAGAAAAAAGAAGGAAATCGTTTTAGATTTGATACAGGACATCATTTATTGATTTATATATTAGGGCAGGGTAATGCCAAGTAAGGTCTAACATCAAGATCCCTCCTGGATGAAACACTTTTAAATGCTGAGCGGTGAAATAACAATATAGTTACCATCTTGGTCATCTTTTGGTGAGCCAGGAGCTGGTTCATCAAATCTCTTAGGTGGGTTGTTGGCTCCTTTGGGAACCTCTTTTTTAAGGTTGTTCTGCAGGGCATTGCATCCTGAAATACAGTACACAGAATTAAAACATTTATAAGTGGTTCTAAGTTTTTTGTAGGACCATGATGCTGTTTACATCCCAAACAAACAGAATAAGGAGGCAAGATTAGCCAAAATCAAGGACTTTACGCTGTTTTATGATCTGTAATTTATGAAAGAGAAAAAAGTTTAGCTGTGAAATAACCTTTTGTTGTAATTGACTCAATCGGAGCTCTGAAACAACTGAAAAAAAAACCTGTGGCGCCTTGCTGCTAACCGCTAGATAACCTAAGCAAGTTCATAGCCACGTGCTGAAGTAGCTAACTAACTTTGACACTCTCGGCACCTGAAGACCAAATTCCTCAGTGAAGTATCAGAACCAACACAAAACCACAAGAAATATGCTGAATTGTACAAAACTGGACTCAATATATTTAACAAAGGTGTAACTTACTGTCTTTTTCGGGGTTCAGAGTTGTGTCTTCCTAACGTCATAGGTCCGCCTTGCGAATTAAATTGACCAATCACAATTCGTTGTGTACAATGGACAGCACACTCATCCAATAACATCTTTGATTGCTGACACAACGTCCTCTTCACCTCAGGACTGCGTATTGATGCGCCTGCGCAGTTCAGCTTCGGTGAGTGATTAATAATTGTACTGAAATTTTGTAATTCTCTACAGAAAATGTGTTTATGGTTACAGGAGATTTCCTCTGTAAGCAGTTTACATCCTCAGCTAACATAATGTGATTATTGAATGTTAGAAAGAGTAAAGTTAATAAATCCACAGAATGAAGCCATACAGTCACAGTAACACATTAGCATCACAGAGAGCCTCTGCACTGCTGCTCTCTGCTAGGTAAGAAATCACAGTTAATGTGCAGAACAATGTGCGTTTAGTGTTAATAGTATTGTCTTGTGTGTCTAATGGTGAAGTTTAACAACCAAATTGATATTTATTAGCATGCTAATCGCTAATAGCTAATCATGAGTGAAACTTATGTTAATTAGCCACATGCTAGGTGAACTCTGGTTAGATGCTTGTACAGTTGCTTTTGTATTAAACCTGCAGCTAGTAATTAATATAATGTAATCTAACCCCTCCAGTCCCTATACACTATTTATTCATGTGAGCTTTAGATAAAATGAACACTCATTTGTGAACTTTAGCTTTAAAATCATGTCTGTATTAATGTCAATGTCCACAGACCACTGTGTCTTTGGTGAACTCTAGGGATCTGTGTTGATTCCAAATGTCCTTTACCTTCATCAGTTTATTCAACTGTTTTACTTTATTTTTGCTATATTCCCTACTGAATAGAGGCTTGACAAATCACTATATGAATTAACGGTGTGTGTGCCTTTTCTGTCATTCATACAGTTTCCCTGTCCTTGCAACCACGTTATCAAAGGTCATCATTGCTCCTTTATAGTTGGATAGAGCTTTTTGGCAGTGGGGTAAGTAATACACAGTTTACCTCTATATTTTAATTTGGTGAACTCAGAACTTTGATGTATAGAGTCACATATTAGACAGTTCTCTCTGTTACCATCATCAAAACACTAAAAGAGGAAACATCTCTTTTTTTATTTAGAATGGTGTTTCCCACTCCTGTAGTATTCACAGATTTGTAGAATCAGTGCCAAGGCACATTGAAGCTGGTCTGGCTGCCTGTCGTAGCTCAACACCTCACTAAGACACTGAATGTTGAGACTGTCTTTTTTACCTGCCTGTATATGTGTTTATGATTTGCTTTTAAGAATAGAATAGTTCAAATATTCAGGAAATGTTTTGTAATTAAAGAAAGAGAGGCTTTTTGACTTTGCATTAAGGTTTTCAAGTATTTATTACTCTGGGTATTAATTGCTTATTTTTTGTCCATTGAAATTATTTCAGGGGAAGAGCTGGGGTTTGATCCATTGGAAAATGACACAAAGATATGACTCACGCTGGAGAAGAAAAGTTAGGATTCCAGAAAATACTTGCAAAAGATACAGAAAAAAGGTGAGAATTTTCTTTTAGTTCTTTTGTGGTTATATGGTCAACTGTTATTTAAGGTCTTCTCTCAGCTACATTTCAGTAGTTTCTTTGCCTTTGGCAGCATAATACTATGTAAGAATATAAGAATTTTGTGCTTTGTTTGAAATTACAGTTTTGTCAAGAATATACGCAAACATGCCATTTTTTTGAGTGACTCAAGATAAAATTATTGCACTAGGAACACAACAGCCCATAAGTATGTTGTAAGTTGAATATCTTAACCTTATGATTCCTCTGTTTTCAGCAGGACACACAAATAGTGGAGAACTCAGGTAACAACTGCTCTGACAAAAACACATTTTCTAACTACACAGACATATGAAGTTTTGTGAAATTCAACAAAACAGGCTGTAAATTATTGATATGATTCAGAAGCAAACAGTCAGTGAGTTGGTAAAGTATGACCACATATCCCTTCTATTGCATGTTAAGCAAACTGCAACTGAGAAGCATGCCTCCCAGAAATATTTAACAAGTTTTTTGAGGCAGCTATGTATTTTCCTCTACCCTGTGTTGTCTGCACAGATGCCTGTTATATTGCTTATAGGGCTATGATTTGATAATGAAAAATATAATATCTTTGAAACACATTCTTCGTCGCTCTATTAGTGTAGTAACTGGCTATGTGTTAAGATGGACAGAATTTTTATGAAAAATAAACACGTACAGACTAGTAAGCCACAAACTCATGAATATTGCCTTTGAACACTTGGTGTACATTTAACAAATTTGTAAAATGTTTTATATGATTTTGTTTTGTGTCTAGAATCAACAAACTGGAGGCCAGATGGTTGCTGCACAGAAGGACTAGAGTGCCATGCTACTCCTGAATCTGCTGACTTTGCCCTTGACGAACATCCATCAATCAGGAATTTGTGTGACAACAACAACCATACATTTTCCCAATGCTCTGAACACACAAAAGAGACACATCACGCTGGCCTTATTGAAGAATCAGAGAGTGAAGATCCTTTTCACATAGAGACATTTGGTCACCCCCTACATGAGTTTGTTGAGGAGGGAACTTAAGATCATAACCAGTCATCTGATGATGACCTGTCCTTTGATGAAGACCTATTATGTGAAGACAGTGCAGAAGCGAACAACTTGGTTTAAAATGCCTTGGAAGTGTTTTTTGGAAAGGACCAACATGTAAAATCAATTAAAATGAGCATGGTGTATCTGAGCAACTGGTCACGTGTTAATAATCCTGTCTATTTTATTTTATTTTATTTTCATAACTGTATACTGTATAATAATGGGTTCTTAAAATTTTATTAAGAATTTACCTAGTTTTGGCCCATTTTCATAACCTATTATGTGTCAGTGTCTGCCTGCTACAGCTTACTGCTTCCCAAGTCTCCATGTGTCTGTAGCTCATATTGTTAATATTCATAGGCCAATAGGTAGAAAGCTCACTCTGAAAAAGTAAAGCAGTTTGATTATGGTAAATATCTTCTTACATACATGATGTACCTATGTGCTGTAAATATTTTAAAAAGGTGCAGATAACAGGACCATGCAAAAATAAATAGATATAAGAGAATAAGTTAAAAGCCAGTTAGGTTGTCAGTCCTTAAAAATAGGGCTTTGTTTTTAAATGTATTGCATTAAAATAGTACATTTTCATGTCACCGATAAATCACAAGCAAAAGGCTCTTTTTTTGCTCCTTGTGAGATCAACATGACTCAAAAACTGAGTTTGAAAAAAGTGAAGGGAGGTTAGATTGAGTAAATTGAGAGAGCTCTCCAAGTTCTCCACCTGAGCTCAAAAAGAGTCTCAAAACTTGAGAAAAATCCAAGAACTTGATGAGATCTCCTTTGGAACTGAAAGGGACACGAGGTTGAGATTTTGTGCATCTCTTTTATCTGGTGGCAAGGGTGAGAAGCTGGAGAAATAAGCCATATTGTCTCATTTAGCTTTCACATGGAGTGTTGTTTCGGAGAAATAAATGAAACCTTTTGAAGTTCTCTTTTCTAAAATTATTTTCCTCTGGGTCTGGTGCCTTCACAGTGTGTGTTTGAACCCTCAGCTGGTCTGATTTACTCATGTGTTACCCGTCTGCGCTCTGACAACATACCAGCTCTGACTTTAGTTTCTGCTGTGAGTTCTTCCAGTTTGTTGACAGGATGTGTTTTTACTAAATGTCTTTTGGTTGGTTAGAAGGACATTTTGAAAAATCACCGCTCTCATATCTTTAAGTTGTCTGGCCTGTGCATGACGCCTAGTTAAGCTTGGTACAACTGGAATCAAGTCAAGTGTAAAAACCTCTCTCCAGGGTAAAAAAAAATTGTTCTTTTTTTCTACTCACTGTTGCTGTTCAACTTTGGAGTCAAAGCCCGTCACAGGAACTGAGAGTGCTCAGAGTGTCTAGGCCTGCTTGGGGCCAATTGATGTGTATACATTACAGGCAAGGGAAAATAAACCCCAAACCTCATAATCTAGATGTGTTAGTCTAGATTTAAGAAATTTGATATTTCAAGTCAGGATTGTATTCAGACAGTTTAGATTGGCTTTCTTAACGTCATGTAAACATACTGACTGAGAAGCTCAAAATTGAGACAATATAAAAGAATAACAATCTCAAACTGTGTTTTCCTGTCTCCTCTCCAGATTTATCTGAACTTCAGCTCCAGGATCCCTTCGACGCCCAGAGCCAGGGAGGAGCCGGGGTCTCACGGCTCGGCTCCTGCTCGTCTCCACTCGGCTGGCGGTAACAGCCCAGCGACGCAGCCCTTACTGGTCCAGCATGAAGTCTTCCTGGAGGGCACAAACCTCAGAGCCCAGCGGGTGTGAGGACCAACCCGACCTGTTTGGCTGCCTCATAAAGTGCCTGTGATGTTCAACTGCAAAACCACCAAAACAATTCACCCGCCCACTGCTCCGGTACCAGCAGCATCTGTTGAAACATGTTGTAGACGGGGACGTTCATTTTCTCTATACGCAACAGAACAAAACAAAGGGCAAATGGCATTTTGTTGTTATCACTGTAATTGACTGCTGATTACAGGGAGGACAGTCGGACTAATGCTGCCCCGATCACAGCAAAGAACACTTCAGGAATTACGTTACTCCAGAACTGTCTTTCAGGACATTATTACACTGTTATCCGTTTTTTCCACACATTTCAGAAAAGTTGTGTTTTTTTAGCTCGTCATGTAATACTTGCTATCTACTGGACATATTTTGTTTGTTTGGTTATTTTTTGTTATTTTTTCCTGCCATGGATATTTATGTAGTGTTTTCATGTGGTTGGCTGTTGCAATTTTTAGGAGGAAAAAAAAAAGCACTTGAGGCACTTGAACTTCACATCAACACCACGTAAAGCAGCTGAGTTTATTTTTATACTCTTTTATTGTCAGTATTATTTTCCAACTGTTCAGATTCATGTTTATATGAAGGAAATACTTTTGGGGGCCAATTAAATGTAGATATTAAGAAACTGGTATATAAGCTATTAGACTGCAGGGTAGGTCATGGTTATGATGTTTTCTTATGGCCCGTAATGCAAACAAAGTCAATGCTAAGATCCTACATTTGTACCCGAGGACACAATTCAAGCAGAAAATCACCTGTGGTGTATTCACGAGTTTAAGTAGTTCAACTCAAGCAAAAAAAAAAAAAAAAAAATATATATATATATATATATATATGATGGGTCGCAAGTCTATCCAAGTAGCATTTTAAAAGATGACACCAAACTTGATTAGAAAAAAAAGGCCATTTGAGTTTTGTCCATTTACAATTCTGCATTTAAATGTAGTCATTTTGACTTCTTTTCAACCTGTATGTTGCATTAATTGATTGCCATAGGGTCAATCCAAAGTAGCTAGAGGGAGTGGTGGGATCCAGTAAACAATTCCTGGAGAAACACTGCGAACATTTGTTAAACACACACAAACAACCACAAACCGCTCCCACGGTCGAGCTTGTTTAAGTAACATGCTTCTTTTTTTCCACAAGTGCTGAACTCTTCAGAGTGCTTTAAGTCAATTAAGGCCCCGTGTCCACCTAGCGCTTTTTTCCTCAGCGCCAGCGTCTTTCTTCAGTTGTTTTCAATGGGTACAGAGCAGAAAGCAGCCGACAGGATGAAAATCGCAGCGCTCAGCGTCTATTTAACAAGCGCTCTGCCATTCTACAGATCGTATCTTGTACCCACATTCTCTTTGTGTCTGATAGGGTAAATAAACTATCTTAAATATCAAACATGCAGTAAAAAGTAACAGAGCTGTGTCGGTCATACAGCGGACATTGTCAACAACTGCCTACTGCCCAACAGACCTGTAGTATTGCTTAATATGTAAATTATGTAACCTGAAACTTGTTTCAGGTTACATAGGTTGTCATAGAGACAGGACGGACGTGCTGCTCTTTTCTTCTCAGAGCACAAACGCTTCATGCAAACACTCCCGAGCGCACAGACAAGGCTTTTCTGTCCGCAAAAAACGCCAGGTGGACACGGGGCCTAAGTTAAACATTTCTGTTTTAAATCGGTGTTGGATGTCTCTATATGTAGAGAAACTAACAGTCTTTACTGGATCTGATATCACAAAATTGGTACGCTGTAGAATGTTTATGTGTACATAACTGTAGGTGAATGATTTTGGCTTTTGCTTTATGATGAGATGACAGGCGTCATATTTGACAAAGACTCTTGGGAAGCCTGAAACTATTGCTGTTAGTCTTAGCTCCTAAGCATGCATTGCAGGTGTATAGTTTGACTTTTTGACAGCTGGACTGCTGGAGAGTTCTCTTGTAAAAGTGTAAATAACTGTTCAGGTTTTATAGGGTCACTCTCTGGACAGATTAATGATCTTTGTTTACAAGGAGGAGACAGGTACTGTAACTTCTGAGATCTGCTTTTCAACTTCTCCCCCTTCATGGCGGATTAGGGAACAAGAACTTTCTGTTCTGGCTTACAGATGGCTATTAAAGACACCTGTATAGTTCTCCATTCTACAGTGGCAATCATGGATGGATGGAAATCCCATTTAAAGCATGCACTCCAGATGGTGTTTTGGTTAAAACATTTTTTTTTTAAATAGAATTGGGTTGTGGTCAAAACTTAAAATAAAATGGAAATTTTCTGAATCAGAATCTCAGGACATATTGGGCCACAAAGGATGCACCATATGCATCCTTTTGTTGGGCGGGGAAAGGAGGATGTATTTTCTGCTGTATTTGAAGGAGACTTCAAAATGGAACAGCCTTCTTCTACACGTTTTTGAGACACGATCAGTCTTGGACTGCACCCTCAAAATCGGGACATAGCAATCGGAAAGGTGGATTTCTTGTTGATTTTTGGTTCTTTTGGCACCTTGGGGCTGACTCCTCTGTCATCCTGCTCTTGATCACTTTGTTAATGTATTTGTAAAACTTGCCAATTGTGCTAGTTATTTAAAATACTGTAAAGAGAACCAAGTCTCCAATTTCCATGATCAGGCTAAAAAACAAGCTAAGACACAAATGACCACAGCAACAAGTTAAATATCTGTCAGGGAACTCAGGCAGAGGATATTATAAAATAATCTTATATAAGACACTTTCACCTTTATCTGAGAAAATTAAAAAGTGTGTGCTTGTACAGTTATCTAGTGACAAGAAAAAGCAACATTAGGTTTGTTTTTAGCAGCATGCAGTAATGCTTCTGAATTATTTCAGACATCTTTAAAATGCCAAATTACACTGAGTTGAACTTTAAATGGGGAGCATCATTCTGTGAAGTCAAAGGAAAAGCCAAGGTTCTTTACATCTCTATCCCACATGTTGCTGGTTCAGAGCTCAGTCTGTTTGTCGGTCGTCTCATTGTTCTCAGACCAGTAGCTGCTTTTCCCAGCAGTCCTTGCAGCTGTTTCCGCCATCAAATGTGGGACTTTCAGCACCTCTCAGCCTGTAGTCCGTCGTGGTCCAGACCATTATCAGATCCCCCCTCCTCCCACTGGATGTGGATGTTGTTGTGAGAAGCATCAGGAAAGTGTCCTGTTTGTGTGTATGAGCATGTGTGTGTTTTTTTTGTGTGCATGTCTGTGTGATGTCAAAGAGGTGCCACTACTAAAGATTCATTATGTAGTTTAGGCTGAAAACCTTACGGTCTTACTGCTTTCTGTGTTTTTGTAAATAGAAATGTGCGTTTATTGTAAAGTAATGTCGAAGCTGTTGAAGGTACATGGATGCAGAATATTACTAAGCTGTATTTTCTTAACGTGTGCAAATCTTTCAAACTGTAGATGCAACTGGAAAGGCTCTTTGTGTCACCATGGTAGCAGACTTTGTTTCTATTATGGCTGAATCATTCCTTATAGACAGTTATGCATGTTTTTTTTCCCCCACAAGAAACAGAACCAAATATTCTTATTAAACATCAACATTCATGGAAATATCAATAAAATCCTCTAATTACATTGTACAACCAGATAGGAAAACGGTTTGGAATAATAGTTTATTTTTGTCTCCTCCCTCCATATTTTGCAACATATTTATTAAACCTTAGGCTTGAGTGTTACTGTGTATATATGATGTGTTGCTGATACATGTGTCAATGTAAATAAAATTGTGTATATTGAATAATGAAAGAAAATGTTGGTCGCTTTGCTTGCAGAAACTCAACAAACTCAGCATACTGAAACTGTGTGCAGCTTTAGACATATCAAATTGCTAAAATCCTAGATCTTCTAGTCTTTTCATTCTTGACATATAAAAGTTGTATTTTTCTAAGTGCAGTGTCAGGGATAGAACAGGCTGTACCCTGAGGGTGTTGTCACAAGTGTTTCAGATCAACTGTTCTGGAGGTTTCACTGGATCCCGGTTGTGCCACATGCCGATGTAAAGCACCACGATAGTTCACTCATAATCTCATTCTTTGAGGCATTCTTCCTACTTTACTCTCCATTTGTTGGCTGCAGACCAAAAAGGGACATCTGGCTGTGAGGGGAAAAAGCCACGAGGAGGACTGCAGCACTCAGAGCAAACAGGCCCGGTGCACAAATCTGCGTAGGCAGAGTCCATTGTTACAGGATCTAACTGATAAGACACAAGCAGGAAATCCCACCATTGAAGAGCAGCGACTGAATGCAAGTGTTTGTTTTTCAGACTTGAGGAAGTTTTACACAAGAAAAAAAAAGCTGAGACGAATCTTTGTAACATTTAAGTAATATTAGGTCAAGGGGGTAAATAAGGATATGTAACACAATGCTTTAATTATTCAGACCCTCCAGGATTTTTCAGATTGTCTGTGATCAATGCGATCTTTTAGATGCCTGATTTCATGGTAGCTTTTTTTAAAGTTATAATGCAAGCTGCAATGTTTCAGACTTTTCAAACAAACACTCCACTAAACATATCTAAAAGCTTAGCAAAATGTCTGTCTTGTGACATCAATTAATGTCGATTTCTGTGTCATAAAATAAAATGTTTTATAGTTGATGAAACTGAAATTGATTACCATAAAATCCCTTTCCTCATTGAAAGTGGGTATGACATTACTATAATTGTGCATAGTCAAAATGACTTATATTTGAATTGCTTTACCCTGCTGTATTTTACATTATTTACATTATATATTTACATTGCTGAAACAGTATTACACAATTGATAAGAGACAGAGCGATGATTAGTCGATAGACTTAACACAAGCTGTAAGGCGGTGGCTAAGTGGACAGCTTTAAGATTTCAAAAGAAATCATGGATATATGAGGTCAAGAAGGAATTGATTACTGGATGAATTAGTGAGGATTCACTGTTAAAAAGTCTCTATAAAGACGCTGTAGTTTGAGGCTGGGTTAGAAAACTCATAAGAGAAATAATCACTGCTGAAAGTCTAATGCATGCAGCGTTCCAAAGATATTAGAGATACACTTCAAGATAATCTACAATGTCTGTTCCTTTTGAGATCAATAACCTCACTTCTCTGATGAATATCTTTGATGAATATAAAAGAAGAAGTACAGTGACCTCTATGATGAAGCACATGGGGGGAATGAGGTGATTTGTGAAAATGCAGGGTACGGGCCTGACCGATATTGGATTTTTGGGGCCAATATCGATATAAGGGAGAGAAAAAAAAAACTATACTGACATATTGGCCGATATCTTGCTAAGATCATTCTCGATCTGTAGAGATGGATAATACACATTTATTGTGTTCAAACCTCAAATGCAGATATTGAAAGATTGGCCCTCAACTAGAAAGTAACTACACATGTACGTGCATCACCGCTCAACACTCAACAGAATGATCCTTCTTGTTGTAATAGAGAACTGCTACTGTAACACAATAACACTCACATGAAATGCTATTTGACAAGTAAATAAATCTAGTCATATCGGCACACGTCTGCAATAAAAACCAGCAGATACCGATAGTCACTCGAAATGCCATTGGCCTATATTATCGGCTGGCCGATTAATCATTCAGGCTCTAATGCAATGAAACTGCAAGGTAGCAAAAATGACCTTAGGACTGTCGAATTAGACCAATTGCAACATTATAACATCTTACAGAGGCAGATTTCTTTAAATGTATTTTATTATAACCTTGGCCCAACTGGGAGTATGGGACTAACAGGTAAAAACTGTTCTGCATTTGTCCAGTAGATTGCATGGGCAGGCAGCACTGAAATAGGCTGAATTGGTGGAAGCATGAACTTGCAAGGTCTAGATCAAATAACAAGCTTGTTTCCATTACAACTGGCAAATGTAAAGCAATGTAGTTCAGCATGTGTGTTATATTTGCAGTGGGACAACATACTGATACATCGATATAGCATCGTCCTGTCTCGTGTGATAAAAAAATCAAAATAGCTGACACACATACACACGCACACACACGCACACGCACGCACGCACGCACACACGCACACACGCACACACACACAATGGCCAGTCTGTGAAGGGCCCCTCTGTGCCCGTGTATGTGGATAGAAAAAAAAAAATTTGGGCAGAGGGAAGTAGGATTAATGACCATGTTGACTTTTTCCCAGAGAAGACAGCTGACGGAATTTTCTGAGTTTCACAAGTGGTAAGTGTCATGTGAACACCTCTGCAATTTGTCCAAAACGGATTCAAGTTAACGCTGATAAATTAGTCTTTTACACATTTTGGAATGCACATTTTAATTTTTTTAATAGCTCAATAGAACACTGAAACATGTTTACTACCCTCTTAATTCACTAAGGACAAAAATGTCCACTTCCAAAAAACTGCTATAAAAACAGAACAAGTTGATATTTATTTTTTTTACTTTTTTCTGCATACATCTCTTAAACAACTCCAGCCCTGCTCAAAACTACCAAACATTCAATCATTTTTAGGAATGTAACCCTTTAAATGCCAGATTGATTACATGATTCTGGCATTTAAAGGGTTAAATTCCTAAAAATGATTGAATGTTTGGTAGTTGGAGTAGGGCTGGAGTTGTTTAAGAGATAAAGAAAAAAATATCAATCTGTTCTGTTTTTGTATCAGTTTTTTGTAAGTGGACATTTTTGTCCTTCGTGACTTGAGAGGGTAGTAAAAATTGTTTCTCAGGTTCTATTGATCTATTAACAAAAACAAAATTTGCATTCCAAAATGTGTCAAGAGACTTTCTTACAAAAAATGTGTTCCATATGCACTAACAGACAAAATGATGTCTAGACAAAGAGGAAACTTTTGCCCAAATGGACAAAAATGTCCATTATGATGCATGAGAGTTAATACAATGCTGTCAATCTCGGAGACTCATCTATTAAGTAATCTATGGCTAAACTATGAACATGCAAGTAAGGAGCCTAGCTAGTAAGGATAACTAACGTTATAAATTATTTTAGAATACAGCTGGGTTGGATTTTAGCACGCTGTACATAACTGTAAGGCATATCAACTGCATGCTCGAGCAACGATAACATACAGTAAATGCTTTTTAACTCTGACGCTGATATTTCTCCTCAATCTAGATGAATATTGAAAAGTTTTTTTTCCGATACTCAAAAGGGTGACGAGGTGCATATACAGTCTGGACCAGAGGTATAAGCAAAACAGAGTAGCCTAGAAACTTAAAAAAACACACGCTGGAAAGTTGAACAGTCTGACCTGTGTGATAAGCTATCCAATTAATTTGTTTCAAATGTTTCCAGGCTTCAACCATTATTGCTGTGTGAGCTGAAAGGACTGCTAGGGAGAGTCAGGATGGGATAGCTGTAGGTAATGAAGAGAGAGAAATAGGAGAGGAGGACAGCAGCCAACATGTGGAAGAGTCAGCTAGGGCAACAGCATCAGGTGAGGCATCAAGGCCAGGTGAGCATCACCTAGGACAGGACAACAAATAATGCATTTTCTTTATATTAGTGAAGTTCGTGGTATCTCTTTGCTCTTTCCTTAGGTGAAAACAGACCTCTGAAAGCAGCTTCAAGGAGAACACCTGGCTGCCTGCTTGAGGATCTCCATAATATAACAGGACATTGGAATATGTTTTCAGAAAGCCCTGTAAAAGTCATTGTTCAAACAAATCTTAAAAAAAAGTATACTGGCTGCCACAATATAGTAAGACGCCAAAGGGGCAAACATGATATGCTATTATTTGAAATTATTATTTATTTTTATGTATTATTTTGGATATTCCTTTATGTTATAGTTGAATTAGGGATGGGAATTTACAGTAATCCCTGTACTCGATTACTCAAATTACCTAATGAACGAGTACTCGAGTACCCGCAGATTATTGTTTTCTACTTGTGCTTTAAGGCCATGTGGTTAAGCATCGAACTAGTATTTCTATGGTATGCAAGTTTAACACCACATATCTTGCACTGCACATGAACATTGTTTTTGTCAAAATACTTCCAGAGATCACTTTTCTTGACTGACATGTTGCAGGTGTAGCAGACGGTTCTGTATTTGTTGTGCTTTTGCTTTTGGTGTAATGATATGTTCCTAGAGAGTTGTCATAGCTGCTTGTTTTTGCTGAAATCTGGCTCAGTGTGTACTAAAGCTGAAGCCGGAGAAGTCATACATTTGTATCCCGTCAATTATTTTCCTACCTAGTATATTCAGTTAGGCGATAACAAAAAGCTGGGTCACACATGTAACGCTATATGAGTTCAAGTTTTGTAGCCAAAAGCAGCGCTTGCACAGGTGTGCGAGTAACAAAATGTTACACGAATAATGGGGTCAACGGCGAGTACTCGTACCTATCCCTAATTTGAATACACAAAACTAAAACCCTGATGTTATGTACATGCTATTATTATTATGAATGCTATTAAGTAATTTCAGAACCGTTATCAGTTTTTCTAAACTTCACTACGCACACTGTAGTCAAGCCTCTCAAAACACAACAACCGTATGTGGTGCACGTGTGTTGTTGGTTAAGCAGCCAATCACCAGCATTATTAGATCCTGGTACTATACAAGCATGCTGCATGCTTATTGGCTCACTG